AGTTAAGTTATTGAATTTTTTGTTCGATTACAATGGTTCATTATTGAAAATAATAGCTACATTATTTTTTCAACAGCTTCCTACTTATGTAACATCATACTATTTGGTTTTTAACCATGAATTCCGGTCGAATCCGCAGCAGTTGTTTCAATAGACATAGCATGTTGTTAATTGTTATCAAAAATGTTTTTAAAAATCGTTATCAACTTCAATATTGATAACAATTTTAAAATAAATATGAGGACAAAATGTTAAATAAATATCATGAAGATAAAGAAATTGATATTTGTTTACGTACTTATGATTCATGTCCTTAATCAGAGGGATATTTAGATTAATTGTCGTTTGAAAAATAAAATTAATAGATCCCATCGCAAATTTTATTTGAATTGCGTACAACTATCAATTATATTTTTATTGAAATTATTGTTTCCATAAAGGTTGTTGGCCAAAACTATCTCGAATACTTTATTTAAATTTAATCATTATTAGGATTTAGTCACTGCTGCAGTAAATCTTAACAAAAACTTGAAGTACTGATTAAATTCCTCGGTACTCAGATAGGGCCGTCAAAACCACTTGAGATTAAAAAACAATTTGCCACTTATAAAACTTTATTTTCGTTACGTTTCTGTTATCAAACTTATAAAATATTTATTGTATTTGGCAATATAATTAATTTAATTGAGCCCATTCCTGAATCACCTGACGATGGCCTGACTGCCGTCGTAACGCAAGTAAACAAAACGTAATGTTAAATAGTGTTTTTCAAGTTCTGAAGCGTTTTTTAATCTCGAGTAGTTTAAATAAATTACTTCCCTTGACCTTAAGCATAAATATACTACAAACATTACTTCAAAAATAAATATTTAAAAATTATCATCTAAAATAACAGAAAACTAGTGTTACTACATAAATGTATCATTTCACCCAGTGGCGGGCGGATTCAGGATTCATTTTTTTCAGGAGGGGGAGCTTTTATATATATAGTGGTAATTACTCTACAAGAAAAAAATGTAATTACAGAACAATAATGTTTTTATAAATAAATTTATTATATTTCTTCTTAATACTTGTTTACCCTTAGTACCTTTATATGCATTATAACGTAAAAAGAGGATACCAATTCTCAAAAAGGCAAGAGGAATAAGTGCTAAGTATGAATAATTAAAAAATAATGATACTTTTTACATTTTAAATAGCAATAATTATAAAAATACTATTTTTATTTGTTAACATTTTGAAACAACACAGAACATGGACGTGATTCTAGACAGAATATCTACCAAAACAAAAATCATTTGATGGATATAAGTGATAACACAAACATTTTTTTAATTCAGGTAATTAAAAATTGCTTTATAGTAACTAGACACAATTTCCTTCAAATACCAATACAGTTTGTCTTTGTTAAAATCATTCAAAGGGAACTTTTGATCGACCATATATATATATATATATATATATATATATATATATATATATATATATATATATATATATACTGACAGGCAAAAAATTCCACCCACTTGTTACCCATTAAGGAACCACGTTGGAAAGGCTGGCTCTGGGAAAAATTACAGGCTGCATATCTTTCGTTTCTTCTTCTCCACACCCTTTCACGCCCGTCTGGAGATCCAAGAGCGAATCTTGACTCATCTGTAAAAAGTACAGCACTCCATTCGTCCATAGTCCAATGGCTGTGTTCTCGAACAAAAGCCAGCCCTGTTACTCTGTGAGTTCTGGTCAACTCTGATCCTCTTACTGGACGTAAAGTCATTAATCCATACTCATTTACTTCTTCGAGCAGATGAATCGCTTGAACAACGGTAAGGTGACGGTTTCGAAAATTCTCGAAGTTAAAAACCGGTCATCCCGTGGTTCTGTTACCCTAGGCCGTCCAGAACCGGACCTTCTATTGTAAGAACCAGTTTCCCGAAAACGCCTGACGGCGTCTCGTAAAGTTTCATATGGAACTCCGATGGCATTAGCATAGCATGGCATGCATATCTAATGGAACGTCCATCATCAATAAGTGCCACACCACGCGCAACATCCTCAGCACGAAGAGGCATTTTTAAACTTAATATTGAAAAAATTAAAAGCCGGAGACTAAGAAGTGTGTTGCAAGAAACGGCACTGAACTAATGATACTGAATAAACATTTTGATTCCATAGAAAGTATACATTGGAATCCAGAATCATTTCATTGAATTGAGGATTAAGGGTTATTGTCCTCTATATTAACATTCCTAATTGAAAACAAACAAAAAGTATACCTTATTCATTAAAAACAATAGACCAATCCAAAGCAGAAATATTTTTAGATGAAAACATGAAAAAATCTTTTTAATGAATAAGGTATACTTTTTGTTTGTTTTCAATTAGGAATGTTAATATAGAGGACAATAACCCTTAATCCTTAATTCAATGAAATGATTCTAGATTCCAATGTATACTTTCTATGGAATCAAAATGTTTATTCAGTATCATTTGTTCAGTGCCGTTTCCCTAGAATAATCCTCACCCTTCGTATGCCAGAAATAGCGAGGTATGCGGTAACCGAAAAAAAGTAAAGCAATTGGCAGATTTCATTTTTTAAAAAATGTTTATTAATTAACTATAATCTTGAATTTGTATTTATGTCCTCTTTATCTTGTTGCATGAGTAGTTTCATTTCCCATTTTTTTGCCTATTTCTGAAATTAAGTACCACATTCTCAAGAAATATCGCTTATTTAGAAATATATATTCTTTTACTGGAGCAGAGGTGCCGGCCTTAGGACGGGGCAACCAGAACGATTGCTCGGACTAACCTCGCCATTTGTTAAGAAATAAAAAAAAATATATAAAAAACACCTTATAATAATTAGTATTAGGATATTAATAAAGCACCTATATTAGAGACAAGTTGAATGAAACAAAATTCAAATATTACATAATATAAAACAATTTAAGAAATAAATTATTTTTTTTTAGGTGGGAAGATATTGCTTGACAGAGCCAAATGTATAAGGTCGGCACTGAGAAGCACTAGCGGATCCAGGATTTAATTTGGGGAGGAGGGGGGCTTCAGCCCGAAAGCTTTTTTTTTCATAAAAATGACGATAATTACTTTGGGAAAAAAGAAATAAACTAACTACCTATATGAAATGGTGTTTAAGTGATTCCTAAAGTCCTTTTAAATGTGATCACATGAACAATAATACTTTAAGAGATAATTTTTTCCATAAAACAGGGCTACATTTTACCATTTTGGGGGGAGGGGGGCTTCAATCCGAAAGCCCCCACCCCTCCCCGTAGATCCGCCCGTGCTGAGATTCTCAGCCTGAGAAGTAGGAATTTTCTCAATAATCAACAAACACATATCGACTTTTTGCCAAGACAAATCCACTAATTCGCATCCTATCATCTCAGTGGTCCAAGATCTCATTACCTGTCCATGGTGTCTGAAAAGAAAATGGTCACAGAACCTTCTACATAAAATAACAGTTATAAGGCTACCAATAAGTAGCTTCTTCTCAAACCATTGCCATGTAATAATAGTACTATGGCATATTTAGTTATTGTGGCTTTGTCTCAATTACGAAGTTCATTAATTAATTAAAGAAACGAAAACCCCCCATTAAATTAGTTAATTACAGTATTAAAAAAGTATGTATTTTACTAACTAATTAAGTAAATTAGTGCCCCATTTCTCAAATCTAGTCTGGGAGACCACTTTTCCAATTCAGAGCCCGTTATTTGATATTTACAATTGAAATTGATTACTAAGATCCTGCTATATTATGTAGGAGTTTGTTTATCCGTTTTTTTCTATCATAGACCATTAAAATTGTTCATAAGTTACTTATATCATATCTAATATTGTATCCAGTGAGTTGTTTGTTGTGGAAGAATATTGAATGGTATTTATATGTCAGTCAGGACAACGTTTGGCCTTCGCGTTCCTATGTGAATGTCATTTTATTTGTTTTTTTTTGCTTTGTTTTTTTTTTTCATTAAATAACATCGCTTGAATCAATTTTTGAATAAATTGAGTTTGGTAGGTAACTGAAGATTTTTTTTTTTTCCTCGGCCCCTAATCAAATGGAACGTCTATGGTATGTATGGATTGATCCACAGGCGGATTTACGGAGGGGGGGGAGACTTTCGGGCTGAAGCCCCCCCTCCCAAAATGGTAAAATGTAACCATGTTTTATGGTAAAAAATATAAAAAAATTATGTCTTAAAGTATTATTGCTCGTTTAATTACATTTAATAGGGCTTCATAAATTACCTAAACACCATTCCATATAGGTAGGTAGTATCTTTCTGTTTTTTCAATGTAATTATCGTTATATATATGAAAAAAAAGCTTCCGGGCTGAAGCCTTCACCCCCAAAAATTAAATCCTGGATCCGCTAGTGGATTGATCGGAATAATTCGCTTTGAGAAGTTTTAAAATTAATTGATCACTGATACACAAACTGCATTTTTTTTTCAACACCCGTCGTGAAACATTCCCATTAGAATTAAAGAAAAGCTTTATATTAAAAAATTACAATAATTAATATTATGTTTATAATAATGTAGTTACATATAATCTTTAGGATATTGAAAATTGTCTTCTCTTTCTATAAAAGTTTTGGAAAGTTTTAAAAAATGGCTAATTATGCCGTCTATTTGCGTATGACTTCAATATGAAAAACTAACGATTTTTTTTTGTTTTGAAATTTACTAAACTAATATTAATTTAATTAATTATAATATTAAATTTATAAATGAAAAGAAAATGATCAATTCAGATAAGTATAATTTTAAAATTCCTATTATGAACGAAAAGTAAAAAACGAAACTTCCTGTGTTTAAAAAAAATACTCAGAAATCATATATAATTTTATTCTGTAAAGATCAGAACTAAAATAAAAAATAATTTTCTGAATAAGAGTAGGAAAAGTAATATGAAAAGAAGTATGAACAGAAGTATGAAAAGAATTAAAGCAATAACATTTGTTCCAGAATGAGTATTTATTCTTTAGAGAACTTGAGTGGGGGAAGGAAGTTGGACCTCCCTTCCACTTCAGGCAAATTAACTTCAACTCTATAAATTTTCAGGAGCACAATAAACATTTTAGTTTCTTATGTTGGATCAGAGAGGTTGGTTCATTCCATCTACTTATTTTAGTCTTAGAATCTTCCCAATAAAGTTTATATATGATGTCAGACTCAACCATTGTGATAGTTGAAGCAGTCAGAACACCCATAGGTAATTTTCAATGAAAGCTTTTTAATTCTAAAATAGTTAATCTACTATTCAAATAAAAAGTAAATATAAAAGCGGTCTTAAAAGTAATAAAAATCTTTGAAAAATAGGTTCTATTAGTGGTTCACTTTCTTCTGTGAAATCTCATGAATTAGGAACTGCTGTGATTAAGGAGCTTCTTTCCAGAACCAAGCTGCCACCAAGTGAAGTATCAGAAGTGATTTTGGGACAGGTAATTAGTATTTCATAAACATTAATTGAAACTTTCAGAAATGTATTTGTATTTATCTAATATACAAGGTTAACATTTTCAGCAATTCTCAGAGATAATATAATTTTTTTTTCTTAAACTTACAACACAATTTTAGTAATGTATAAAAAACACTAAATTTATCAATTTTTATTGAGTGAAATATCTGTAGATTTTGTTATTATTTTGCCCATCCCAATATGTAGATATAATATATCATTCCTTGGGTATGTATTAAGGTAAATGTAACAGTAACAGACATTTTAAGAAAAAATTTCTATATTAATGTGAACCATAACTTTAGTTCTGACGGTAGATCTTTGCAAATAGATTTAATTGAGAGCCAATTTAGTCTTTTACCAATTTCATTTTTTTTTTTATACAGTCAATTAGTTTGTTATTCATAAAAAACTTCTGAAATTCTGGCAGAGTATTTTGCACAAATAATAGACACCCAGGTTTTGAGGGTCAACAGGTTTTTTTATATAATGAAAAAACCCAAAATAAATTCTCCACAGTTCTAATCAAGGAAATGGCAAACAACAGATGAATGAATCAAAATTCCAAATCTATCTCTTAAACAAAAATCCAGCCTTGCTCCATTAAAAAATCAACCAATCCGCTATTTTGGCATGATATCACTTGAGGTTGAAGGTATAACCCTCTTAAGTGTTCTAGCTTTAAATCTACTGGTATTTCTACAATCTTTTAGCATATATATTGAAACCTGTCTATTACCGTTACATTCACCATTTGTCTTTAAAAATCCGAATGTAGGTAAATAGATATATATTTGTTTAAAATAAAACCATTTATATAATAATTGTAATAGATTAATACAACTATTAGTCTTTTACATAAATGCATATGCATATGCTGTTTTAAGTGTATGTATATAAGTATAAATATAATTTTAAAAAACCTCTACATTAACGATACGTCTCATTACAGGACAAGAAATGAGTCACCATGACTGTCCAGTAACCAGAGGTTTTACTTTACTGAATCAATATTAGTTACATTTTATTGGAATTTGTATAAGTATCAAGTCCAGAGCAGTTGTTAAATATGTAGGAGTTACTCTAAGATAGAATTTTGTTGTCTGAATACCGTTAAAAAGATCAAATCTGAAATCTACTTCAAACTTATTTAGGCTTTTAGCTATTAATTAAAAGTGGCAATGGTTGAAGATTTACAACTAATGATAATTGATTTTTCAGGAGCCTTTACAAAAGAGTTAAATAATTTACTATTTTCAATATCAATATCAATATCAATATCATTTTTTAGTTGTATAAACAATATTCTTATTCAATATTTTTTTTTAAATTTAAGGTGCTTACTGCAGGAGCAGGTCAAAATCCAGCCAGGCAATCAGCCATAAATGCGGGTGTACCTCTTAATGCTCCTGCTTATATTATTAATCAACTTTGTGGATCTGGCTTAAAGTAAGTCCATTACTAAACTGAATTTTCTTTTAAAATAATTGTCTTCAAATGTATTTAAATATATATTCCTTAGGTCTGTTATGCTAGGATATCAGAGTATCAAGACTGGTGATGCTAATATTGTCATATGTGGGGGACAGGAATCAATGTCAATGGCCCCTCATTGTATTCTGATGCGAAAGCCTTTAAAAATGGGAAACACGCCTCTAGTGTGTACTATTACAACTGATGGATTAACTGACGCATTTCATTCAATCCATATGGGAGACACAGGTATTTGTGTTATAATTTTAAAATTATTATGCATTTAAAAAAAATATAGGTAAAAAATTTAAAGTTATGTGTTTAATTTCAGCTGAAAATATTGCCAAACAATTCAACATATCAAGAAAAGAACAAGATTTGCAAGCTGTTATATCTCAGAACAGAGCTGAAATTGCTCAAAAGCAGGGCTATTTTGACAAAGAAATAGTTCCTATAACAGTTAAAGACAGGAAAGGAGATGTAATAGTTAACAAGGATGAATTTCCCTGTCATGGAACTACATATGAAACTCTTGAACGACTAAGGCCTGCTTTTTCAAAAGTACTTCTTGAAGCTAAACTTTTTAATTAGAAAAAAGAATGAGTGATCCACTTATAAAAGTGTTTATATTTAAAAACAATCAAAGACAATATCTTGTCATAGTCACAAAATAATTATTATTAATTAACTAAAAATAGTGGTAATAGTAAATGGAGCAGTTTTCTAATGTTTGATTCCAACATTAATGTAAATCCAATATGGTATTTGATTGTATAGTACCAATACTCTCTCTGAAATAATTACTAATGATTTTCAAATTTAAATGTTTATAATTTTATTTTGAAACTATATACTTATAAATATTTATTTTTAAACAGACAAAGTTCTTGCAATTCACATTAGTTTATGGCAACTAACATCATTAAATCAGTTATTATATTTTTAAAAAATGAATCATTAGATATATTTAACTTTTTGGACAGTAAATTACAACACTTACCCAGTGTTAAATTGATAGCTCTTAATGCACCATAAACTATTAAGCTTCCAGATGAACTATTATAAAATATTCAGTCTTACCAACCCAGCCCAATCCAATTCTTAATGCTTTTATAATTAGTTTTGTTTGTATTATATCTATTATTTTTAATAAGATACAATTAATGTATTAATAAAAATATATATAAATAAATAAATTGGTATATATTTATAAAAAAACTTATACTTTTTAACAAATAATTAGAAATATTGTATATTACTTCAAATATACAAATGAATTTATAAAAATATATTATTACAGGATGGTACAGTAACTGCAGGAAATGCATGTGGTTGGAATGATGGTGCTGCAGGAGTAATTTTAATGACATTGGATGAAGCCAGAAAACAAAATTTAGTTCCAAAAGTTAAAATTCTAGGCTTTGGGCAAAGCGGAGTAGACCCAAAGGTTATGGGTTTAGGGCCAGTTCACGCAATTAAAAATTTGGTATGTTGAATTCCTATAATAAAAACTAAATAACTATTGATCATAGTGAATAAATAAATAAAACTTCTTTTCCATTTTTTTTTCTGGGTTATTCAAAACCATAAAGTTAAGTATTTATATTTTTCAATTTTTAAGGGTTCTTGCTATGTTTCTTATTTTGCATTAATGATTACATCTGCAATGTATGCCTGGGATTGTGAGTTACTTTGTATTAAATATAAAAGAATTTTCAGTGATTAAGTCTATAAATAGATTGAATAATTTCAACATAGCAGAATAAAAATTAGAATATGGTAAAAGTAGTTATTGCATCCCCAACATTTTTGTATTTTATCAGGTGAGACAGCGAATATTTAGGACATAAAAATCTCTTATTTTTCTTTAAAATATATATTTTGTAAGGTAATTCATTTTTAAAAAAATAATATATTATGCATATACTAATAATAATGGAATTTTTTTCTGTCATAAAATAACCATTTCTAATTATAAATGATTATGATGAAATGGATAAATACAAAAATTTGACAGAATAACTGATAAAAAAAGTAATGTTTTGTTCAGCTGATTATTTTTTTCATTTTATCTACTCTTTTATGGATTTAAGAATTTATTATTTTAAGGCTTATAAATAATTTTATGTAAACGAACTTATAGTAGATTTTTTAGGCCTAGAATAGGTATGCTTTAAAGAGAGTTCTATAGACTTACTATGGTGCTAACTAGATTTTTCAACCTCTATGAAAGCTCGGGCAACATAATGCAACAGGCAAGATTCACAAGATAAAAAATGATTTATTTCCTGCCAGTCTTGCTAGAATGTTTCCAGATATTATGAATGAGGAAAAAAACAAACAAAGAGGGCTAAGCTTTTAAGAAAAGAGGAGTTATAATCAGTTTATTTTCTGAAAAAATTAAGTGGTTAATCCCTACAGACAAATTCATTTCATTATAATAATGTGTATTACGTAATACATACTAGACGGCAATTGTTTGCTTATTTATATATAGAAGTGGTTATATGATTTTTTAAAATTATTTTCAGCTGCAGAAAATATCTTGGTCCATTGAAGACGTTGATCTTTTTGAGATAAATGAAGCGTTTGCAGCCCAAATTATTGCAGTGGTCAGAGAATTAGGGATCGATAATGAAAAAGTGAACATCAATGGAGGAGCTATAGCATTAGGTCATCCAATGGCAGCATCAGGTATATTTTCTCATAATTACAATAAATTCTATTAAAAGTATAATATAAATTATTAAAATCCAGATTGCAACAAAAAAAATTTAATTGTTTCAATAAGGTGAAATCAACGTTTATCAAATCAATTGGTATGGGCATTAGAGAGCACAGGCGGATCTACGGGGAGGGGGGCTTTCGGGCTGAAGCCCTTCCCAAAATGGTAAAATGTAACCATGTTTAACAGAAAAAAATATTAAAATCTATCTCTTAAAGTATTCTTGCTCATGTACATTATATTTAACAGGACTTCAAGAACCACTTAAACACTATTTCATATAGGTAATTAATTTCTTTCTTTTTTTAAAAATTAATTATCGTTATATGTATATGAAAAAAAAATCTTTCGGGCTGAAGCGCCCCCCAAAATTAAATCCTGGATCTGCTACTGTTAGAGAGTGGATTTTATTTTGTCTTTTTCTTCATTGTGATTTTATGTTTGATATTACATGTCGTGTATTATTCTTTGCTTAACTAAATTTGCCATAAGTACTCTACCTTTTTGCGAAGTTTGATAATTTTAAGAAGGCTAGACTGTAAAAAATAGTTCTGAAAAATTCTCTTCAAACAAGAGGATTATTCTATTTATTGTAACATTTTGCTACTTATTTCCTAATTTTCCTAAACAACATCTTGTCAAATTCATAAAATTTCTGGAGAAAATTGTATGAAAGAACTATTGTTTCTAATACATTCATTACATTCAGAGTAGCATCAATACTTTAGCAGCTTTTACATATAAAAGTTTAACAAAACAAGAAAAATAAAACAAATGTTGAGGATCAGTGCTTTCATCAGAAAAATTTTCAATGATATTGGTAGTAGAATGAACTAAACTTTTACCACAAGAAAACTGAAACAATAAATTAGCCATTTAATGTTTTAGGAGCCAGGGTGCTGGTAACATTGATACATGCACTGGAAAGAACAGGAAAGTCAAAGGGTGTTGCAGCTCTTTGCATTGGAGGAGGAATGGGTATCGCTATAGCTGTAGAAAGAATTTAGCAAGTTCTTATGATTTTGTAAGAAATAAATGTACAGCATTAAAAATTGGGAATTTAGAATCCCTATTAAAGGCAAATTAAAATAACATAAAGCTTTTTTATAGTTGGATAACTTTATATGGAACATTGAACATTATGCAAGTATTTCAGGAGTTTTTTAAAGGGTTTTGTTATACTATTATTATTGAGTTTAAAAATACTTATTACCACTGCCATGAACTTCTTAGAAGTTTTTAACACTTTTGTTATTTTATTAGTATAACTAACATTTATATGTTGGACAAGTTAAATATTTGTATGTTATGTTTTAATTTAATTATTTTTTCTAAAAAAAGTTGAATAATTGTAAATAAAATTAAATATATATTTTTTTATTATTACTTTCCTTTTAGGTTTTGTCATAAGACATTCACTAAAAGTGAATTTAGCAAATGTAAAAGGTATGATTGCAATAATTAAATATAATAAAAAATATATAATGGATTAGTCCAGGATATGTTTATTAAGATGAATAAAACATTATATGGTTTTTTAATTGTTTTTTTATGGTATTATGACCCTCTTTTTAGAATAATTAAATTTAAACAAATATTAGATCTCCAGGAGGTGGCTCTGTTAATTCTTATTGCTTCAATTTGACATGGACACAAGTAAATACTAAAATACAGTAATACAAAACAATCTTGTCTCTATACAAATATAATAATTTCAGTTGATTTCTTCATAAATATTGGGACTATAATGCTACCAAAGGAAATCTGAAATTTTTCTTTTATTATTGTTGTAGAAATAATGAAGGCTGATTATGATGTCCAAAACATAAAATAGTGTTGTGAAATATTAGCAAATAAATAATATTTAAAAAAGTCAAAGCTCACTAGAGATCAATAAAAACTCCTGGAGATGTCCAACAATATATTAACAACAAAAAATTTTGTTTTATTCTCCTCTTAAATGGTTAGGTTCAGGATTAAAATATTAAACTTGATGGTTATGATCAAGATCCAGATTATAATGGAACTTAGTTGCTAAGTTGGTAGGGTTCGGCTAGATCTGCTTTCTGATGTTCTCTGACTCATATGTTTGCAGAATGCGTTCTGTTCGGTTTTTTGTTCTGAATCCACAGAAGGGTCTTTCGATCAAATTTCTTTTTAATAAGAGATTTCTGCCTGTTCAGATCTGTCTAAATTCTAAAGAGCTCAAATTGATACTTACTACTAACTTTATAGCACAACTCACGCACTATAAAGATCAGTAAAGTCTAATAGAGCATCACTCTATCTTTGTCATATAGCTGCTTTATATAGACATATCATTTCCTTTAGAGGGTTAGTGGAGTTGACTTGAGGGGATCCTACTACTTCCTTTGAAGGTTGAACACCTACTTCATTCCTTAACAGTATGCAGTGTGCAGGTCTCCACTGAAGTATGATAATGGTTTTGCTGGAGATAGAGTTATTTCCTTTTTTTCTAAAGCAAGAGTGAATGATTTATATTTGAGTTAGAGCTATAGTAGTATCAATAAGGACACAACAAAACCAATTAATAACAAGAAATATGTAATGTAAAGTGCTGAAATCTCTTTGGAATAAAAGTTTTATGACCCGATCTATTCTTATTAATTATTAATATCAAAATATGAATGAAATATTTGAAAATTTAATGAATAAGTGTATTTCAATTTTATAATATTTATTCAATGCAAACCAGAATCAATATGTTTTTTAAATTACGAATTTAATACAAAATGCATTATATTAACCTTGAAATTAGGAATAACATTATATTATCATTCATAATTTTTTCAATTCCAGATAGGGTTTTTTTATTTTGTTTTGTAAACCTCATGTCATCAGAAGTAGGAATATTTATATAATAAAATAAAAATTCAAGATGTTCATTTGTAAAAATTTATTATTTCAATAAATCATCAGTGAAATAACAAATAAAATCAGTCATTTTGTAATTAACTTTGGCAATAATAGAAATAATTGAATAAAAATTGGAGACAAGAGTTTAATTCAATTAAGCTTAATAGGAGTGCAAATTTATTTAGTTTCATTCCTTCTTCAACAGGATTTATTTTACTTTGCCTGTCCAAAGAGGGACTGAGGAATTTGAGTAGTATGTTATACACTATAGATTTTCCATATGGAAAATAAATGTAAAATATGCTTTAGACTCTTGCTTGTTATTTTGATTCAACTGTTTCACAAGATGTTTCCTTATAAATATTTTAACTTTGGTATATAATTTGTATAATAAAGTAGAAAACATTCACAATTAAAAACTACATCTATAGTACCAAAGGCCAGCCTTTTTTATTCGTTAAATAAAATATTTATAAAACTTATTACATACCAGCGGTTAAAATCCACAGATTTAGAACAGTCTCTATTTAAACCACAATAGCAATTTTATTTACAATTAATATATTAATTGTACTATATACTATTTTCTGGTTAAGTCCAACAAATCTTAAATTCTACTATTCATAAACAAGAAATTCATACATTTAACTCCATTAGTAAAATATAAAAAATTCATCTTTCTTTTATAATATTATTTTCACATGAAAAAATAATCATCTCATTAATTTATAAACAAATATTGACGATTTTGACACTTTTGGAACATATTCAAGAGAAGAGATAAAATTATTGTTAAAAAATATTATTTAATATTATGTATTAAATACATTTAATAAAATAATTAAAATAATTTTGTGCACATCAAAAATAAGTTTATTAGGACTAGCCCAATAAAATTGGTGCATCTTTAAAAATCTATTTTTCTATTCACAAATCATTTCTTATTTTATATATTAATTTATTACACCTCCCTAGGTCTTCCTATAAATTTACTAATTTTCATATAATGTAAGATTTACTATTTATTAAGTATCTACTCAATTCAGTTATAACCAATAAAGTATAAATGCATACAAAAATAGCAATGTGGGAAGGTAATTTTTAATGAGTAGGTCTACTTGAATTGTTGCATAACAAATTTTAAATAAATAAATAGTGAGATCTTGGAATGCTTTATTATTTGTTTATTTTGCTGAATTTATAGGTTTGATGATATCAAAAAGATTAGTCATAATGTATCTAGCGTTTTCAGACCAAATAAAAAATATGAACCAAATTAACATTTCAATCAGATTATATATTTTTCATGAACCAATGGTCAATCATTGCGCAAGATTTCTCTGACTGCATTTTAAAGTTAGAGAATAGAGAATATTTGTCATACTCATGAAATGACAATACTAATTTTAGGGTTTTTTATAACGTTCATACCCATAACGGAAACAGTCATTTAACAATAAAGATTTAATTATTGTAAATTAAAAAACCAAATAAACTGTATCCAATTATGATAAAACTAAAAGTATCGTTTGAAAACAAATAATCATTTTCTATTTCTTTAAACTGAATAGATCTGAGTAGCTGCAGAGGACTGTAGTTCAACTTGGCCCATTTTAAATTGAAGCCTTTTTAACCATTGTAACAATACAGTGTTTTGCGTTGCCTGGTTCACTGTATTTAATGTAGAAAAAAGAGGGGTTGTAGGAGCAAAATTATTACAGGTCTGAAGTCTCATTTGAATTTGACCAGGAATCTAAAATTAATAAGAAAAAAAAAATTATACAACTACAACATACTTTTAATTTGTACAAATAATTTTAAGTAAATAAATGGCTAGTATTACTGGAATCTGTCCTGAGTACAAAACTGGACTCCAAACAGGCATCAATTTATTTAATACAGCAGATTTACATTCTAACAATGCTTCTAATAATGTCAAAAAATGTGCATTAACTTCGGTAACCTATAAAAAAAAACAATTACCGATATATATTGTTTGTAGAAGTTTTTAATTTAATAAATACTAATGTTTCAAAATGTGATTTTGAAAGTGTAAAAGAAGGAAAAATAAATCTTGGCTGCTCTGTTCGTAAAATTATTATAAAATTTATGAAATAATATTGTATAATACACATACTTTTGAATGCGATACAAGTTGTAAAATACTGGGTGTAACTTTTCCCCAAAAATCGAACAAAATACTCATTGTGACAGAATGTGCGTCACTGCTTGGAAGATTACTAGCAGCACCTTGCTCTAAATACACCGTCCATAACTTGAAAAAATTAAATTAAATTAATCCATATAATAAAAAAAAATAAAAAAATCTAATTAAAAATTAATTGAGCAAATATGAGCAATGCATACCTGGCATAAAACAAAAGCATGAAAAAGGGAAGACATATGAAGAACAGAAGATTTTGACTGTTCAGCAAAACCAGCCATGATAACTTGAACATGGTCAGCAATATGGCAGGCAGCTTCTTGTGGAACTGGCGAACAGGGACTCGAATGAAGAGCAGTATGAGTCAGAGCACCAAGAAGTAACCAAGAAAGTAATCTCATGTGTGCCACACAATCCGAAAATTCTCTAGGTCTAAAAGATATAATTATAATTAATAAAATATAAATAATATATAAATAATAATAATAATATATAAATATATGGTTCAAGATTTCTTTGAAAGAGACCCAGTCAATCAATTGGCAAAATTCATCTTTTAAAATAAATTACAAGGAAAGATATTTTTCATGTGATTAATAATAATTTTATAGGAACTTTAAACTATAGAATAAAGCTGTCCTGATATAAACTGGCAGTTAGTGTAACAACAGTCAGAAAAATGTGTAATGGACTACACTTCAAGTGAAAACATGTTAATTTTTAATTTGTTTGTTTAAAGTCTAAGGTAAATCTTTCAATGTGATTTAAGTAATTTTGAATTAATCTATTATAAGATAATTCACATTTCTGAATAAGAAGAATGCTTATACAAAATTTACAAAAAAGAATGTTTAAAAAAAAAAAGAGAATATTTTACAGCAGACAGTTTGTTACTGGTTTATTTATAATAATTTATTTATTTTTAATACTGTTTGTATTCACCAAGTTTTAAGTTTTAATCCTTTTAAGATGTAGCTAAATGGTTCTATTCCAATAAAAAATGTCTGATAATTGTTAGATTACTTAACTCACTATTTTTGATTTTATCAATATTTCTTTTTAAAAAAATTACACATAAAATGATTATGAAAATGAACTTATCAACATATTTGAAGGAAAGTTTAATTAGAAATTAAGTGCACAAGATATTAAGATAATAATTAAAATTAAGTGCTAAATAAAACTTAAAAGTTACCCTTGTTGAATCGAAGATGGAGCATTATATAACCATGGTAAATATCTGGAAACAGTCCTATTATCTCGGCTACATCCTCTTGTCATTTCTAATGCTACAAATTGAGCGATGCCAGATTTTAAAGTGCCGCCAAACGTGTCTTCGCTCAATCCCAGTGACATGCCTTTATTCTAAAAGATATTATGATATGTAATGAAACAACTTAAGTAATATTATATAATATTTTGTTGAATTGGAAAGACATATTTAAATAAAAATACCTTAATTTTGTCAGCAGCCACCTTGATTTTTGTGATAGTGTGAATATCTGCCAAGAAATCCAGTGCATCAGTCAGATGCTGTCTCATAACTTCTGCAGCGCATGTGTTATAAACTTGTTGGGAATCTAGATTTGGATATGCAGACTCTTCTAATTTAGCAGTTGGAGCAGGTAGCATTCCACCAGCGTCCTAAGTATTAATTTTTACAAGGATTTTAAGTAAATAATTGAGAGTATGATACACTAAGGAAGGACCAGTATTTAAACAATAAAAAGTAAAATAATAATAAATAAAAAATAATAAACATATTTTAATATAATATTAAGATTTATTATTAATATCATAATTGTTATATGTCCTAATAAATTTCTAGATCAATGAAAATGACAATATTGATGGATATGCCTCGATAAAATAAGAAATTTATTAAAGTTAAAAATATATATTCCAGTCGAATTGAAACTGATTAAAAATAAGTTTAATTTTAAACCTTGATTTATTATGTGTATACACTGCATTGACTATTACCACTAATGACGTTAAATGAGTAATTTCAGTACACAGAAAATAGTGTTCTGAGATTTCAACTCATGATTTTTTATAATACGACTCCATTTCCTTCACTTGCTTACAACAGCCTCAATGAGCCTTAATATCTAATTTACAAGTAATTACAAAAGGTTTTTACTTGAAGGACGAAGTTGATAAGAAGAAGAAAATTTGATTCAGGTATATTTGTTTTGAACTTTAATGCTTGAACTAGCTCAAACACTACTGTCCTTGTCAAAGCTTGTTTTTCACGTTCCTAAAAAGGAAAAAGAAAAGAAAGTTAAAAATGTAAAAAAAAACTATGAAAAATTTAGCGACTTTGACAACTCACCCTGGTGAATGCTCGGTTACAAAGATAGCATAGATCAGAAAGCTGTTGGTACTTCAGGATATAGTTTTGAATGCAACAGCTCAACACTTTTGAAAATGGATCAAGGATGCTCTAAAAATGTCAAATTTTTTTTAGAAATAAATATTATAATTTTTTAAAAACATACTAACAAAAAATGAAGTTTACAGTTAGTATTATAAAATGGATAAAAGTAACTGTGCCAGCCTTCGACATTCAGCATCCCCTGGGCAATCATGTCATATTCCTCTCTTCAAAATTTAATTTATTTATTTATCTAAAAATTTAATCAATTTATTTATCTCAAAATTTAATTAATTTATTTATCTCAAAATTTAATTTATTTATTTATCTCAAAATTTAATTTATTTACCCCCATACCAGACTGAAACGACTAGAAACTGCCCGACGTTTTCAACTACTGCAGCACTTATTAGACAAACGCTCTAAGCTTTCAATAAATTACAAATGACTCATATATATGACAATAATAAGACCTATTTGGACTTACGGAATTGAGCTTAAATGGCTCCACTAAACCACCGAATTCCTCTCGTATCTAATCCTTACAATCCAAAATCCTACTTAAAATCCTCAACTCAACTAACCCTCAGGTCAAACTAATCCTGCATGTTAATCTTTAAAAATAAGATAAATAAAAATAAATCTTGGTTTGAAGAATAAAGAGTGATCATTCATTAAACTATATCTATATATTTGCTACGATATTTACTATATCGTTAGTGCCGACAGGTGTGGAATAACTTCAGCCCATCTCTTTTACATATCTCTATCCAAAGCCATTCTTTGGAATTGATCTATTGGTGTTAGAGTCCATCCATGTATTCATTATAGCCAGCTCATGGTCTACCAACGGGGTGCTTTCCTATTGACCTTGATTTCATTAACCATTGGGTCTTATAATTACCTCTTATCTTACAAACATGGCCAAGTCATTTTAGCTGGCACTCCTTAAGGTTTTCAATAATATATATCACTCTTAGTGGAGCACTAATGCTGTTATTTCTCATGCAGTTAATTCTGATTTTGGTTCACATCCTGTCAAAGCACTTCTACTGCATCTGTAATATGCTTTAGATAATAGCACAACTCCTAAATATATTAAAACATTTACAATGTGAGAACTTCATAAGAAAAGGCTGATAGAAGAATGAAGAAATTTCGGTTTTGAGAAATATTTCATTTGAATAATCATTTGACTGGAGATGTGTAATAATCAATTGTCCTGGTTGCACTTTATATAAATATAAGTCATAAGTATTATTAAAATAATTGTAACATTACCTTGCAGGCAGCTATTCCTGGAACTCGTAATGTAGAGAGCATTATTCTGAGCAATGGTAACGGTGTAGCCAGTTGAATTTGAAGAGACAGTCTACGAAACAAAATGTCTAGCTGTGTAAGTAGGGATGACCAAGGACCAGATCCAGGACCGAGTCCTGCTTCAAGAGGGAGGCAGTCAAGATAGCAGGCGATATTATGTAGAATTATGGGAAGAATATCTGGTAAAGACTTCTTTGAATTCAAACTCTAAAAGAAAACAACAAAGTCTAATAAGCTTTAACATATTGAAGACAAAAAAATCAATAATTACTAATTTAAAATTAATGGTTTTTCTTCAGCTTCTAAGAAAAAATAACATATCTTAATGATAATATTTAGATAATAAACATAAATTTACATTGTACATCGTATATAAAACAAGGAAGAGCAGAGACCAAGAAAGACATGGAAAGGAGTAATCTGGAAAGCCTTTGGCAAAAGAGAGCTGGTATAGGAAAACAAGGAAGAGCAGAGACCAAGAAAGACATGGAAAGGAGTAATCTGGAAAGCCTTTGGCAAAAGAGAGCTGGTATAGGAAAGAAGAAGGATGTTTTATGACAGAGATAAGTGGATCATTTTCTTCATTCTGTCAAAGAAATCCTCACTCTCTTATGTGGTAGGGGAGAAGGAGATTAAATAAATAAATACAAAATTTATATTGTTGACATAAAATGGTGTATTATTTCTGGAATTATATTCAGAAAATTGTAAATATTAAAATTTCCTATGTAATTAAGTTGGATATATTAATGGCCATGTATGATTTATTCGAGTGTCAGCCAAGAGAGCAGTCATGTTTTCGATCAGTGAGTCAGTGGATTTTCTAGAACTGAGGAAAGGGCAGAAAGCACATCTTTGCATATTTACGAGGCACGGCCAGAAATTTGTGTACTGTCATGCTGTGAGAATTTTTTTTTTTTTTTTAATAGTTGGCAACACTGAGGGGTGGTGAGGTCTCCTGAACACAACGAGCACCAGCGACCGGTATCAGCACCAAAACTTGTCTCATAGTGTCCGTTTCTGTGAAATATGTCAATAAGAAATCCTGCCAAGTGTGAGATGCACATTGGCATAAGGCTCCTTCTTGCAGAGGGAAAATTCTGACTGAAAGTTTTGCATGAATCAAAATCATTTATGGTGAAGGTACTATGAACCGAACGTACAGGTTTAAGTGGTGCCATGAGTTCAATTAAGGAAGAAAGAATATTCATGACGAGCAAAGGAGGGAAAAACGTTCTTTTGTGACAAATGAGTTGGTGCAAAAAATCGAGAAAACTGTTCATGAAGACTGGTGATTGACAGTGGATGAGATGTTTGCTATGTTTCCACAAATTTCCAGATACCTGTTACATTAAACAATTACAGAAACACTTTTGTGATATCTTAAGTAAAATTTTATTTGAATGTTTTAAATTCTAAGAATAAAATTATCATTGAAAACAATAACAATTGATTATCTCTTATTCACAAATATTACACAAATACTGAATCGATCTGCCCTCTTCTTTTTTTTTTTTTTTTTTTGTGTGTTGTATATAAAGTTAATTCATTAAAAACTATTTTATATTTTTAATATAAATTTTTCTTTTATATAAATTAGAGTTTTAATTGAATAAATTATTTATATAAGTATTTTTTTTTCTATATTTGTAAATCTGAGAAACTAAAAAATGTATGATTTTAATATTAACCTTTACCAACACCATTCAGTTCTAAAAAGTGTGTAGTTTTATATAAAATGAAAATCTTTAGAATAGGTTTTTTTTTTTTTTTTTTTATAAAAATGAAAATTGTTTTTAAAAAATTCTTAAAATGCAATTATTTATACAATGGCTTGTGATTGGATTTAATTGTTAGATTTGTAGTTATGATACTATTGTTTGGGCATTTCTTCATAATTTACAAGTTATTGTACGATGATTTGAGTTCTTCTATTTGAGTTCTGTTAAAGTTTAATTTAAATACAATGAATCATTCACTTAAAAGTAAATTAAGGCAGCAAATTACTTACCTCCAATAATAACTGTAATGGAGCAAGGGGGTTCAATTCATTAAAATCCAATAAAGCTTGTGACACACTGCGGAAAAACTGCATTCTGTTGGTCTCTAAAACATTTCAACAAAAGTACTGATAAATCAGAGGTTAATTTGCTGACCTGAGAACTGCTTTCACAATAGTAATATTTAGTTACCATTCATGTTTGTTTGAAACATTTGAGTAAAAACTCCATTTGGAGCTAACTGATGCAGAACACATCTTAAAAATTGATGAGCGACGCTAATTGCACCCCCTGGAAGGTACATATTACTTTCATTCTGCCAAGAATAGGTAGGGGTAACTGCTAGTCTGAAATATTATTTACATTAGAGTTATAAGGAATGTTGTTCATAATTACTGAATGAAAAAATAGATTTAAAAAAAAAATCAATGTTGATTTAATTTATTGATTTGCGTTGACAAGTTTAAGTCAACCTTTTTTGAAAATTTAAAAATGAACAAAATAATTAAATTAGTTACTTCGCCACAATAGATAATATTTCCGGAAGAAGAGGAGCTGCGAGCGCTGGTTCCCTGTGAATGAACGTAGCCAAAATAACAATACAAAGGCCAAGCTCTTCATCGCTATATTCTTCTTTTAATGCACCACATTCTCCACACCTATCAACATAATTTTTAAGGTTATATTATAACGTAACTACATTTAGTTACATAAATATTAAAATAAATTATATTAATTTATAACAACTCAGGACAGGGAGAAAGGAAATGACAAATGTTCTAGAGAAGCTGGCAACTGGCAGAAAATATCTATCATTAACAGTAGGAAACAACATCTAATTGATTCCAAGATCTTAATTACAATTATATTTTGTTATGTTCCAAATATATTTTATTATGTAAATGTATTTTTAAATTGTAAAAAATTTAATATTTTTAGAAATGTATTACTTCAGGACGAAAATTGACAAAGGAATGAATGTTGCAAAAAATTTTGTTCATATAAAATGGAAAACATTATCCAGAAAAAATTTAAGAAGAGCCAGGAATGTTGACAAAAGGAAAATAAATAAAAATTATAAATTAACAGAACAGACACCTTAATAAAAAAAAAAAACACAGTATCACTTTAAGACTCTTCCCCATAAAATAATAAGTGGATTGTTATACAGTACATTTATCTGATCATACCTACATTAACATTATTTCTGAATCTTTCAAATAAGGTCCCAGAAGGGAATTGCATGGTGCAAGCTACGCTATCAAAATTTTTGGGGAGACATATTTTTAGGGTTTATGAATTTTTGGAAGGAATCATATTATTGTGGGGTTAAATTTTGAGGATATTTTAAAGGAAAAAAAAAATGAACAAATACAGCGAGTGTGATGGTATATGATTTTTTTAAATTCTACTTTCTTTTCCATTGTTTTTAAGAAGAAGAAAGGAATAAAATTTCTAGGAAGGAGAGAGATCAAGTACCATCGACCTTTGGGGAATGAGTATCTTTAGTATCTTGCTGTTGAAAAAAAGACACATGTTATATTGAGTGTTCTTTTTGCCACATTGTAAAAATAATAGATTTCAATATAAAGCTCTCAATTAGAGGAGGTTAAAATTATAATAATTCATCAAAATGTCAAAATAATGGTACGAGAAGATGGAGCATGGAGAACTTTCAATGCAGGGATCAAAATATTATTTATAAATCATAAATGAAAGCTGAGAGAAAGAGCAGTCTTTCTGTAACCTGAATAAGCAACCATCAGAAAGCGATAATAACATATTTTTTTTATAAAATCTTTATAGATATAATCCATATTTTTTTTTTTAATTTAACTTTATTAAGATAGTAGTAATGTGCAATAATTTAATAGTTTAGAAGATATAAAGGATAAAATAAACATATGGTACTGTAGTGTAACCAAAGGATGGAAACGAGACTAAATGAACAAAAAAATTAAGACATGCAAAAAACATTTAACTTTGAGGTGGATAAATCCACTTAGGTATTGGGTGAGTTATTTTTTTACGATTCACCATAATGAAGCAATTTTCTATTATTTACCACTCAGCATAAATAACTGTATGAGGAGGGGTAAAACTATTGGTAGCTAAAAGTTAATAAATAGTCACCATTTTAATGGTGTGCTTCTCCTCTCCTTCATAATTAGAAATTCTAAAATTTTTGTAAAATATTGCTTTTTGAATTTAGACTCGATATTGCAGGAGTGAGATCAAATTCAATAAAAAGATTTTTTAATCCTATATATAATTTTATTATTGTTTTTTGTTGTTGGTTTTGGTCGTTAAACCATCATCAGGCCTATTTATGACGGTTTTTCTCAACTATTGAGGTCATTAATTGATGGACAGAGGAAACTAATCATAAATAAGCCTGAAGAAGATTAAATGACCGAAACCAACAACAAAAAAAAAAAATACAATTAACCCTTTGCACTCGGTTGTTCCCTTATATTCAATCCCTTATAATCATGTCTCTTGTCAAATATATCTATCCATTGTCAATAATTAATACAATTAGTTAAAACAATTGAGGAGAGCTAATATACACTATGGTCTATAATAATAAATAAATGACACTGAAACAAAAGAGATGTGAGTGAATAGTAGGAGTCAAGTAAATCTTATTATACAAGATCAAACTATAGAAAGGATTACTAAATGCTGCTACTTTGGGAGTATGGTGAGCCAGGATGGAGGGACTGATGAAGATGATGGGAGTCATAGAAGGAAAGCCTATAAAGCATTCTCACAGCTTTGGCCAGTGTGGAAATCAGGATGGGGCCAAATTTTGCATCTTCAAAACAAATGTCATGTCAGTTCTGCTATATGATAGCGAGACTTAGAAAGTTACCAAGCAGCTAACCAAGAGGCTACAGACATTCGTCAATAGATGCCTGAGAAATATATTGGAACTATGGTAGTCTGAAACAGTCTCTAATGCCGAGCTGAAACAAATCAAGCCCCAATAGATCAGGTCATTAAACGTCGGAAATGGAGATGGCTTGGGCACTCGCTTAGAAAGGAGCATAGCTGGAGTGGAACCCCCAAGGCCAGCAAAGACGCGGATGGCCTAGAGAAACGAGGAGGAGGACTCCAGAAAAGGAAATAAGCAGGGCCGAAAAGACTTGGTCTGAAGTCAAGGAGCTGGCTAAAGATCGAGATGCCTGGCAGAACTTCGTAGCGGCCCTATATCCCACCTCAGGAATTTTAGGAACTAATAATAAAAATATATACTACTCTTAAATTCTTTTAATTATACCATTGACAATCTATTTGCTTTTAAATAATATAGAATTATGAAAACAGAAAGCTGATTGTTAAAGCTTTTATTTAAAAATGGAAAACTGCCAACAAAATTTGAAAATATTTAGATTAGTAACAGGTTCAAATATGAGTTATTAAGTATATTTAGTTGACGATCAATTGAAAAACTATCAAGGAAAGACCTAGCTTTTTGAGACAGATAATTGTTATTTTAAGATAATTTTGAAAATAAAAATTGTAAAACATTTTTATGAATATAATCGAATATAAAAAGTATGAACTACCTTTCATAAATGCAATATTCTCCAACCCTAAAATCGCTTTGTTTAAGTTCAAATGAAGCATGGCAAGCCTGTTGTGCGGAAGCATCTAAGGGAGGATGCACACCATACCTATAATAGCACATGTGATTTCAAAATCAACTCTTTTGTACTTAAATATGTGCAAAGTGTTTTAGTAAAAGCAATTTTTTCAATGCATCTATACAAATAATTAATGAAGAGTTACGTACCAAGCACCAATTCTCTGACTATGATCAGACATGGAGTAAGGACTGAAAGAAAATGGACCTTTTCTCGTTTTCTGTTTTCGGTTGATCTCCTTGTTATCAACTAATACAAAAATCATTTACTTAATAATTATCAACATAAGAAAGCAAGTTATTTCAAATTACAATTATTAGTACTTGGATTGTTACTAGGCCTTCTATAGAATGCTTGATCTGGATCTGACGTCAGTTGGGGTGGAGGAGACTCCAGGGCAACTTGTTTGCACAATCTTCTAGGGCTTGTACTTCTACTTGTCTGGGAAAAAAGAAATTACCTGGAAGACAGTTCATAGATTCTTAATGAAATGAAAATGTCATTTTAAAAGTATAACTAACATGCTGAGCGTGGTCACTCCTGTCAAAACTATCTTGTTTTGAAACTGGAGAAAGAGAAAGTGAATCAATTTCCGTCGGAGTGCGTAATGATGATTGATCAGTATTTCTGTTATCTGGAATACAATGTCATATAGATTATAAAATAGCTTATTGTACTTCTAATCATGGATATAAAAAAAATAAAAATAAATAAAAGATAATAAATAATAAATAAATAAGTGCAACCCCTACTCGATTGCTTAGACCACTATGGCGTGGGTTCGATTCCCGCATGGAGACAGTAACGCCTCCATCCTGAGATTAGCAGGAAGATGAGCAACTCCTGTATCTTCCAACATCATAGCTTCTGGTAATCCAGATTGGAATTTGGGCACAGGACCAATTACCTTATCCTGTAAAAAACAACAGGATGGAGAATCTGCGAAAGGGTCACCATCCATCGTAATGAAGAGAGAGTAATTAGTGATCGTGTCCAGTTATTATGAAACCACGTGCTCTCTGGATATCTATACGAGTATGTGATAACCAAATCATCACAGCTGTCGACTGGAACAGCCCCGTAGCTGCTAGAGGACTAATGACGGAAGTCAATAAGTCAAGAGGCTTTAAAAAAAAATTATGGAAATTCAACTTGGCTAATGGATTACCTAATCTACAATCCGAATAGGTCTGCTTCTTTTAACAAAAGCAAGTAGACCATTTACAGTGCATACGATTTTTTTGACTGCAAGAATACAAATAAGTTTGTATAGCATCTTGAATTGAACCTAATGATAAATTTTTTTTCTTACGAGTTGGTCTCTTTCCTGATTTATTGAGCCATGGATTGTTGCCATCTTTCGCAATATTTCTCTCCTTATTGATGTAATCCTTCCTGTTAGTAGTAGAATTATCTGTAGGAATTGCAGTTGTTTCCAACAATTTAATTTCATCTTCTTAAAATAATTCTGAAAACTTTATAATATTTCATGAAATTGGGATTTAAGCACTTCATGTCCTTTCTTAATAGTCATACTGCTTTTACCAGACATGATTAGTTATTCATAAAATTTTAACTTAACAATTAAAACTAACATTAATAACTAAAACTATAATTTTTTTAAAAATTAATAACACTATTTAAATAAAAACTAATAATACCATCTTCCATCATCCTGTATCCACTAGTCAATTTAAATCTCCCCTACTACAGATAGCTTACAGCACAAATAGATTATTTTATTACAGAATTGAGTTTTAATAACAATGTATTATATTATCACAATATAATTTTGTATTATATTGTAGTATTGTAAAAACAGAAAGAAACTACAGGCCATTATTCATAATAAACTTTTTGTATTAGCTGAAAATACAAAAAACAGATAGGAGAAAGAAAAAAGTAACATAAGTACAGCTATTTTAAAATTTAAATAAGTTGGAAATCAAAATAATGTACCATGTACTCCAAGAACTTGTCTGACATGCTGGACTAAATTTGCCATACTATGCGGTGCACCAATTGGCAATAACCTTTCCTGCTGCGGAATTTCCAATTGAGCCATACTATGTTGAGAAACCGAATCGTACTGCGATGAAGTATTTCCTTCTGACTCTAATTCAATGGGAGATCCTAAGAATAAAGTGATAATTTTAATTGGAATAGCACAATCAAGGAACAGTAATTTTAATCTTATTGAAGAGTAACACATAGATGATACACGCATACAAAAATGTAGGTGTGTTAAACATTATTCTGCATATTGGAAATGGTAGGTGATTCATGTATTTGTCTCTACAGATTACTGAAAGAATAGTGAAAAAGCATTACGTACCTACTGTAATTATGTCCATCTTGGAGAGAGGAGAATCAGGTGAACCATATGCACCATCTCTAGCCGACTTTGGAAGTGGCTTAGGAACTAATGAAAAAAAACAAATTTAAGCTTTCTGAAATAAATGAATGTATTATTGGGCAGTATTTTTTTTTTTTTTTTTTTTTTTTTATGGATTATACCATGCATAGTTATAATCATAATAAAATTATGTAGAAATTAATTAGTAATTATATAGAATAAAATTAAACAAAAATTCCATTCTGTTGTGCCACTCCAATATTATTTACATAATAGTATTTAAATACTTTATTAGTGTAATAGGTATGCCTGCATCTAAGATGTTTATTTTCATTACTTTTTTTTTTTTTTTCTCACTATGATATTTTATTTTGTTCTTTAGTAGCTTTATATTATTTGAAGTTAGTTTATTTTTTTTATTTATTTATTTTTTTAAATTTGTAAATATGGTGTGAATGTGCTCTCAGAACTCTATTATAAATGTCCTTTATTGAGACAGATTGTAATATTTATCAATAAACCAAAAAAAAAAAAAAAAAAAAAAAAATACTTTATACATAAAAAGCTGTGCCAAATACATTAACAAGGTATAAATGAAAAGTAATAATTATTAAACCACATTGTTTATCTCCACATTAGATGAAATTTTCATATTAGACCCTTTGAAATTAATGTTAGAATATTATGTTTCAATCACTAGATTTATTATCATTAATATAAATTAAAACTAGGTACTGAGCTTCCAATGCTAAAATTCCCAAGTTCAAACCCTGGCTCATGGCAGAAAATTTATTTATCTGTTTCATTGGCCGTGAGGCGACCCTGGGTCAGGAGACCCTCCTGTGGCACACCCAGCCTCTATAAAGTGGGTATCCTTAATTAAAAAATTAATTAAGGGAGAAAACTTGGCGGTCGAGCGTGATATCGGTCAAATCACCTCTTTGCACAACCGTAGACCTAGAAACAGTGCTTTCCCTAAATAGTACTGAACCCCAGAACCTTCATGGGTTGTAGTGGTACAGGTTTTTTATCAATTAAAACTTAAATATTTTATTAATTATTCGAATAAGTTGATTTTTATAATGAGGAATAACAACACATGAAAATTACAATTGTTTGGGAGCTGCATAAGGAAATAAAAAATTATATACATATGCAGTATTATTATATTATATATATGTATATACATGCAGTATTTGTCCAACTATAAAATATTACAAGAAAGAATTACTATTCATAATATTATAAAAGACATGTACCTCTGCTTGTACCAATTGGCAAGAGTCTCTCCTGGCCATGCAGGGCAGCTAGTTGCTTAAATGGATGATCCATCTGCCATGGAGGATATGCAGAGGGTGTAGGAGTTGGTGTTGAAGAAGATGTTGAGGTTGAAGTTGTATGCTGCAGTGTTACTTCAGGACGTGACCTGAGTGAACTTTTAGGAGTTGGTGAACCGTGTACAGAATTTTCTGGCCATGTATCACCTTTTGAGTCACTTGATCTAAAAATAAACTTCTGATAACTAAAAAAAAAACGGACTCATGAAATAAAAATTATTACATCTTTTTTTTTTTGCTTGTTTACATTATAGCTCAGTCAAATTAGCACTAAAAAAGAGTCTACCTTGCAAAAGGTCGGGTAATTCATATTTTTCTTTTATATTGTTAAGTATGTAGTGAATATAAAAAATCTAAGTTTCTGCCATTGAAAGCCTTGTGGGTTCGCTGGAGTGCTCCAAAAACCATTGAAAGTTCAAACTTTTTTTTAGTTTACGCTAAATACCTCTTTTTTAAAGCGAGATAGATCAAAAAATGGTTATATTTAATCTTAAACAGCTTAAAATTATCTAACATTTTTACATATAACATGTCTTTCTAAAACCAAGAGGAAGCGAACTATCGAACTTTCAAAATGAGTAAAGTTTTGAAAATTCACAAAAAAACATGTATAATTTTTTTGTTTTTTACTAATTATCTGTTTTTATTAGTGATACAGCTCAAATTTTTAAATTAATTATTAAACCACACACAATTTACTACAGCTTTTACACAAAACATATTTTTCTAAACTTAACAACTTAAATAAAAATCATTTAAAAAAAATTCATGTTTTGAAAATATAAAAAATCCTTATAATTTTATTTTTACTGATACCACTTATTTTAATGAAATCGGTCATCAACAATTACTGTTTTTCTTGTTACTATTGCCACATTTATACCACATCATTCAGTAATCAAAAACGGTATCGTTATAGTGCTATACAAGAATATAAGAATTAAAAAGAAAAAAAAAATGTTTTGGACAGTGAAATTATTGTATTAATATTTGTTTGCTAATGCAATCAAAATAATGTACTAAAAACGTTATTATAACATTATAGCGTTATCATGTCATTTATGAGTACTGAATGATGTGGCAGAGAATCATTGTTTTAGAAAGAGAAATGTATTCTACAGATGTTTTATTTTGGAGTGTTTTTCATTATTGTTGGCCTTTTCATTATTGTTGGCCATTTATTTACAAATGACGCTTGATTTTCAATTTTAGTTTTAATGACTCAAAAATTATAAATTTACTGGTGTTTTTTATTTAAAATAATATGTTATTTTTTAATGTTTTATTATCCTCTAAATATCCAGCTTTAATGAAAGGACAATTAAAACAAAATGAAGCCAAATGCTGAATCTCAGTGACGAAGAACTAAATCAAATCAAAGACGTCAATCCGCCATGTTTGGACACTGCTTTGGGACAGTGTTTCCACTTTTTTTATGAGAACATTGGTTTCTTTTTTTCTTTATTTTTTTTATAAATAGTTACAATAAACACAACTATAAGCAACTTATTGGGCTGTAGGGAGAGGATGCACGGTAGAGAGATCTGGTGTATTGTGTAAAATACTTTTCAAAACATCTCCCAACTACCGTTTACCGTTCTAATCAATGGCTCATTATCTTCAAGTAAAAACTCGAAATTCTCTGAATGAGGTTCAAAATGGAGTGAAACTATTGTGAAGAAATCAAAATGGGTAAATTTTGAAAGCTCGATAGTTCGCATTCAGCTGGGTCTAGAAAAAAATGTTAGATAATTTTAAGCTTTTTATGATTGAATATAACCATTTTTTATCCATGTCACTCTAAAAAGAAGATATTTAGCATAAAAAAAAAAATTAGAAATTTCAATGGTTTTCAGAGCACTGCAGCGAATCCAGAAGTCTTTCAAACTTGGATTTTTATATTCAATACATACCTAACAATATAAAGAAGAAATTTCAATTACCCAACCTTTTGCAAGATAACGTGTCTAATTTGACCGACACGAAAATAAAAATAAGAATATTATTATAGAGTTACAGTACATAAAATTATTCTAAGTAAAAAAATAAAAACAAAGGGTCTGTTTCTTTCTTAAGACCATCAAGAATGATATCTATAGCATTAATGGGATAAGCATAGATTTTATTGCTGGATATTTTTTATGGCTTGTCATTAAACAGATTTATGGAACATTTCATATATCAGGCTATCATGATTTGCAATGTTTTTCATCTGTCAGTTTTCAGGGACCAGTAGCAGAGTACAAGACAGAACTTGAAGAAAGTAGAAGGTAAAATGATTAACAGAATTGTTTAATATCATTCAATATTATACTAAATGAATAACTTTCTTTCACTTTACTTGCTCAAATAAAATCAGCAATATCAAAGTCACAGAAATATATTTCAGTTTATCTTTAGTTTTTGTTTCTGCATTTTCCAAATTTAAGTTACTCATAGCTTTTATAATATAATCATTCAAAATAAAGTACATATTATTTTTGGCATTATTAAAATAATTTAACATCAGTATAGTTTTAGTCTGAAGTAAAGCTCACATGAGCGAGAAGAGCTGCAGTGGTTAATAAAGTATTAACAATTTTAAAGAGAAATATTCTATCCTGCTTCATCGATTATAGGATGAACTGATAAGTTATGAACTAACCAAGATTTGCTTACTTTGTCATTGGACTGGAATCTTGTAAGACTGTTGGATTCATTACAGTTGCAGTAGCGAGTGATGGCACTTCAGATTGTTGTGCATTTACAGGAAGGATCGAGGTAGAGACCAACATCTTCATTCCTTCTTTTAACCCTAGTTTTGCAATGATTCCATTTTCTCTCTGAAACATTAAAATATTTAGTTAATATTAAAGCATTAACCCTCCTGGGGCACTCATTTATTTTATCTTAAGTGTGTTGAATCTATTATTACTAGTTTACTTTCTCAACCATCTAAGGTAGGGGAAGTATGGTAATCGAAAAAAATAATTATGATACATCTGTAAGGATTTTAAAACTTTTTTTTGAAGTGTGATATCTTGGACAAGAGTTCATTTGTCTCACATCCTTTTAAGGATAATTGATTAGTTAATTGAATATTGGAATTTGTTTGGTATAAAAGTCTGGAAATATATTTAAATAAAATTTGTTCTTGTCAAGCTTTATTTTACTTAATGGTTGGAATAAAAAAAAAAATTCTGATGACATTGTTATTTATTTTAGCATGTCTCATTGCATTATTTTAATTAGAATGAGTGGATTTCTTTTTGATTATTAATTGTGCATTTAATATCGATACTTTATTTTTAAATTAATAAATTGCTACCATTGGGTAGTTACTCTACAAGTGTATTCATGTCATTATATCAATTATGTCCAAATTTATGTAATACAGTTGTAAATGTCATAAAGAAATAAAAAAATAAATAAATAAATATTTATCATTTACAATCACTTGTTTAGGTTTAATTTTAACAATTAATTAGGCTTCAGTTTTATTTTTAATCAATGATGTAATTATTTTGTGCACTGCATTAAAGTTAATTCTTATTTGTTAAAATGGAATTGAAGTATGTACAAATACATCACTTCATGCTAGCTGGCAGGTAAAATATCTTATTTAAGAGATCCTCCTAAGGTAGACCAAGCCTCTATAAAGTGGGTACACTTAATTGAAATAATTAATTAAGGGAAAAAATCTGGCGGTTGAGTGTGATCTTGGTCAAATCACCTTCTTGCAGAGCCGTAGTCCAAGAAACAGTGCTTTCCCTAAATAGTACTGAACCCAAGACCCTTCATGGGTTGTAGTGGTACAGTTTTTTTTATTTTGTTTTTTTCATTAAAGCATTAATAAATTTATATTTAAATTTTATTATTATTGAGAATTATTATTTTTAAATGAAAAATAATCAAAACAAGTACAAAAATAATGCTTCGTAACAAAGAATATCACATCAGTGTTACCAATAAAAATTAAAAAAAAAAAACTTTTTTTAGAAAGAAAGTTTGTGAAAGTGGTTGACTTTGTAACGAGAAAATTACACTAAAAAATTAAAAGTAGGAATAACAAAAAATATCATTTTAAAAAATAAAAACATCAATGTTATCGATGAATTCAACATTAAGTTGATTAATATTTGATAAAATGAAACAAATTAAAAATCACCATACAGAATTAGCTTAAAAATTATCTACCAAAAGGAAAAATGATATCACCTGTCAGATATAATTGAATATCAAAGTAATAAAATTAATGTAATGACTAAAACAAAAATTTAAATCAATCAATGAATTAAATTAATTGTACTTACATGGCTATCAGAAGTACCAAGCCAAGCTGGGCGATGACTGCCTTTGTCGGAGAAACGCCTTTTCCCATCCGAACCATCTTCTACTTCTTCAAATGATCCCTTGAAAAATTGTATGTTTTGTTTGAAATATAATCGATTAATGGTGATTAATTAGTTGTATTTTTTCTCTTTTGCTACCTGAGAACTGCCATGAACAGTACTATCAGACTTGTAACTTTCTGGAATGGCTGCCAATTCAGATTCCGTTTCATCTGCTTCAGTCGAATAACTATAGAGAGAGAGAGAATCACTTTATTATCATAAAATAAAATAAAATGGTGCTGCCCAATTACATTGGGTTGCTAACAACACAGCATACTTATTAATCACTACAGACATTATTTAAAATTATTATACAATTATAGGATTAACAATATGTATGAGCATAGTATACAATATTTTATACGTATATATATATATATTATTTTTTTTTTTTTCCTTTTTTTTTTTTTTTTTTTTATAATTTTTACTATTTCTTTCATTCATTTATTATCATTCTGTACCCTTTCTCTTCCTTCTCTCCCCCTATACATGTTCCCACTCACATTCTCTCCTCTCTCTTTCTAACCTAATACATAAAAAATTCATAAAGTACAGTGGACGTGTTCAATAAATAATAATATAAAAAATGCTGTAACACACGCATGCCTCCCCCTCGCGAGCAAACTCTCCCCCTATCCGCTCCCATGCACATGGTGGTGGATGATTCCCAGGGAGTCGAGGATTATACTCTCTGCCAACCTTGCCACGTCCTTTATGTCGACACCAAGGCCCTCCATGAAGCTCCTTGTTGAGTCTGGTATCGTTCCGCGAGCTCCGAACCAAAGGCCTCTCACGTGGAACTCTCTCGGCCCGAAACTCTCGCGGAACTTTTCACTAAGGAAAGGGATGCATTTCTCATATATCTGTTTTTTCTCCCTTTCCACTTTTTCTGCCTGATCGAGGTCGTTGGTCTCATATCTCACGGTCGGATCCAAAATCATCGCCGACTTTCCCGTCTTAGAGAATGCTACAATGTCGGCATATCGGGTGGATCCATCCGTATCTATACAATATACTTCCTCGAAACAGGCGTATTCTCTCTCTTCAAGGAGCCTCATCAGTTCATGCTTGACTCTGTGGTGACGGCGTGTTATAAGGAGGGAGTTGTTGGGGCATTTTCCAAGCACATGTGCTGGTGTTTCTGGCTCTCTGTCGCATTTGCGACAGAGGGACCCAACTTCTCTTACCTGTCCGCTGACACCTGGGACTCCACGCAGGGGAGCATAATTAATATTTAGTTTCAGGGCATTTGACCATTCAGACCCAGAAAGTACTTGCTTATCATACATGTATTTATTGGCTTTCGGGGTCTCTTTAAAATGGCGAACTCCAATGCCCTGCCACCTGCAATTGGTCCATTCCTCAAACGAATTTTCTCGAAGCGACTGCCGTAGAGCTCTCATATTCCGAATACCCCGATCAACCCCCAATCTCTCGGCACATTCATCAACCTCAGCCGAATAATCAAAGATCGACTGAAAAAGGGCATCGGGCACATTGGACAGTCGCTGAGCAATGGACCAATGTTGTAGAGGAGCCTCCCATTGGCAGCGGATTAATCCTAATCCTCGATACCTCCTGGGAGAGTACAACATCGCCGTGGAGGTGTTCGCAGGGAGTCCAACAATAGCCTTCACACTCCTGCGAATCATGGTGTCGATGCCGTCAAGTACGGCAGGACGCAGCTTTGTGAGGGGCGCAGTTTGGAGAGGGTAAGTAAGACCCGGGAACAGATATTGGTTGACAATGTTTAGCTTCTGCTCCGGCTTCAGCAAGGGAGAGGTTACCAGTTTATTCAGGTTTTCGTTCAATTTGGTCACCGAATCTTCGTTGAACTGTAGCTCTCCCGAGAATGTACATCCTAAATACTTGATTGTATCTCCATTCTGCATTGTTTGGATGTACTCTCCGTTCTCAAGGGAGAGCATCGCGGTTTCCAGCTCTCCTTTATTTAGAACGATGCCCACGCTTTTTTGAGGATTAATAGCCAAACCAATTCCCTCAAATGTCCTCTGAACGCTGCCGATCACTCTTTCTGCAGCCCCCTTGTCACGCGCTGACACGGCCTGGTCATCCGCGAAACCTGTGAGGACCACACAACCTTGGTCACTTTTTAACTTGTATCCAAATTTTTTGGAAAATTCTTCATCGCACAGGTCGCGATAGAGATGGTCAATGGCCAGGTTGAAGAGCGACGACGACAAGGGGCCGCCTTGGGGTACCCCGCGCAGCACTTTGATTTGGCTAGTTGCGTGAACACCGTTACTAATTTTGATTGTGTTCGTGCAGAGGAGAGCCGATATAACGTGTTGAAGATCCGGCGACACACCTCTTGCTTCCAAGGAGCTCACGATATGATTGTGGCCAACATTGTCAAAAGCACCGACAACGTCAAGGAATACCACCGCACAATCTTTTTTCATAATCTTTGCATCTTTCAATACAGCGTCGATAATCCTTGACCGTTGACCTAGAAACAGTGCTTTCCCTAAATAGTACTGAACTTCAGCAGACCCTTCATGGGTTGTAGTGGTAAAAGTTATCAGTTTGAGTAGCATCTCGTCCCAACAGATTCAACAATTCACTGTAACATGTGCCTACAATCACTATGTAGTGTTCATGTTACAAGTAAAAAATTCTTAAAATTTGTTTAGTAACTTCAAAAATTATTTTTCCTTTATATTGTTTGTCTGAAGAGATTAGACCCAGGATTTTGTAATTGATAATCAATTAAGTATGCAGATATGGATTAAGCTGTGTTATAATGTAATTGAAGATTGTTAAACATAAGTTGAGGGCGGAGAGGTTGAGAAGGCAAACTTGTGTGTACTGCATGCCCAGGAACCTGGTGGAAGATAATTTGATGAAATAATTACGAGTTCTCATCCTGATGCCGGTGATGCTTTTAACTCTGGCATTAATCCCACACCCTCATCACTGGCACAGGCAAAAAATCTAAATGGCTAGGAGGGAGAGGACAAAAAAAAAAAAATGTAAACATAAGTTCATTTTAATATAAATCTATAAGAACTATATAACCTGTATTCTGGATGACGCCTAGAGCTAAGTTTCCCATCACGATGGGTTGTCTCTTCCCAATGTGTTTCCATACCAGGACCCTTAGATTGGAAAGATGGGCAGGTTTTACTTTTAGTACTTGCGCTTGCATGGCTTCCATCACCTCCAGAAAACATAGGTGACAGTGGTGGGGTTTCATATCTATCATTATGATCACCATCAACTCCTAGAGAAGGCTGACTGACATCTGTTAATATCATTGTGATAATAAATATAAAAATAATTTTGAACAAAAGAATAAAACATAACTTAAAAAAAAAGTAACCTCTCGATCGTGATGGAGCAGTCATGACAACAGTACGAGGAATCTGACGACATACATGATGTTGTGCATCTAATGTGTTCAAAACAATTCTTACTAAATATTGAACCTGGGTTGATTGTGGCTGAGTACAATACTGATACTAAAATAGAAGAAAAATTGTGATAGTAATCAAAGTTTATTCAAATATGCTCTTCAGCAATATGAAAAGAGATAAAAAATGATAAATTCTATAAATACAAGAAAAACAAAAAAAAAATATATCTGCCAGCCAAACCATACATAAAGCATGTTTCAGAAAGCATGAGCACCATTGATTTTTTTCTTATGTACCACATTAAGGCTAAAAACATAACTAAGTTTAAAAAGGAAGGAGATGGTCCGGGGTTGCGGACATACAACAATTGTTAGCATCTATTTACTTTATTTTAGGATCTTGTTACTCAGCTTACTTAGTCCATATTTTATTGTACTTACTGTTTATAATTCTAATAAGCTTATTCACATTGTTTATAAATTATGTCTAAATATTATGTAATTGCCACAATTCTCTCTTTTTGTATCTTGTCCGTTCTAGCCCTGATGAAGACCTGCAAAGTCGGGTCGAAACGTTGGTTTTCAATAAAATAGTTTTATCACTATTTAGTCTTTTTATGACCGCAACCCCGGACCATCTCCTTCCTTTATAATGCAACGGTCAACTATTAAATATTCAATATAACTAAGTTTATTTTGAAAAAAATGTTAAACTAATTTTCTTATTAGTTTTCTACAATATTTCGATTTTTAACTGAGCTTCTATTAAAATTTTAATTTTTATGAAGTCAAGTTAGGGACACATGCTTCTCCGATGCTAATCCTATGAGCCAGACCAGTTCAATGGATCTCATACGACCTTCCACCAAGAAACTAAAGCCAAAGAACATCGGCAAAAAAAGGAACAGGTTCATTCTAAATTATTCCTGTGCAAGAAGTAATTTTGTTGGGAAATCCATAAGAGAATTCATGGGAATCAGCTGATCACATTATAAGATGGAGTGATAGATTAATACGACTTAGGTTAGAGATATTTGTGAAGGAACCATTTGGTGAACCTATAGGACTGTGAGCTAGTTTATCCAACAAGCCTTCTTTAAGTTCCTAAACATTGAAAAATCCTGTTTTTGGTCTCAGCAGTTGTCTGACAGAGAAATAATGCCTGATAAAGAAATAATAAGATGACATCAGAGATATGGTGGGTGACAGTGTATTAAAATATCAAGTATTATATATATATAGAAGATACAAACAAAAATAGAAAATAAGTATGAATACAAATAGAAAACAAAGGAGAATATAGCATGTAACTTAAAAGAAAACAGATTTGATAACTGCAGGTTAACAGATAAATAAAATGAATGTTGACGAATAAAATTTTTAGATTTACTGGATCATTACTTATTCATTTTTCTATTTCTTTATTTGTCAAGAATCATTTTATTTATCTGTTTACCTACAGTTATCCAATGTAATCTATTCCAGTTTGTTATACACTCATTTCTTATCATTTATCTCAATCTGTTTACTTTCAACTTACATGCTATATTCTCCTTTGTTTTCTATTTTTATTCATACTTATTTTCTATTTTTGTTTGTATCTTCTATATGTATATAATACTTGATCTTTTAACTACACTCTCACCCACTAAATTTCTGATGTCATCTTATTATTTCTTTATCAGACAACTGTTTCTTATTTAATATCTACTTATAATTCATTTATTTTATTTTCACCCTGTGCCTTTTATATTTTGTATCTTTTGTAGCCCTGATGAAGACCTGCAAGGTGGGTCGAAATGTTGGCAAAACAATTAAAAATATTATTTTTTAAATATTTAGTATTTATTTGACAGCACCTCCCCCCCTCCCTCCCCCGACCAACTCCTTCTCACATTTTATTTAATATTCATATTCATTGCAATAATTCAATGGTGACCAGTTATTTTTTTGAATTTAAAATATAAAATTTTCATTTATGTATAGAAAAAAAACATAGAAATGTAAAAAAGAAAGGATAATTGGCGTCTATAAAATTATTATTGGTTCAAGACTTGAAATTATTGATTTGCCTACCTTATATAGAAATACTAATGTTGATACAAGCCATGATCTCCTGACATGTGGTTCCAAATACCAAAGACTGTATTCAGGCGTAGCTTGGCTATCAGGTGTGAGGTGAGGCGGGCAAGGGCAGTAATGCAATAGCAACAGGCAAGTACTCATCAACACCTCGCCCATCAAATGATTTTGATCTAATACTTGCGGGAGGTTACAAATGAACACATTGAATACTCCACAGGTTCTGTAAATTAAATTAAAAACGATTATTATAGACACTAATAACAAGGAAATAGTTACCACTTACCAACACTATATCTGGGCCATAATGAATGTTGTATATATTGCTCTAAGATGTCAATTATATTTATGATACTTTTGGTTTAATTTTTTTAATTTATTTAATTAATTTTTTATTACTCATTTATCAATAAAATCCTCAAATATGAAAATGATTTATCAAATTATATAAATTTTTCTTTAACTATTCAGAAGTATATTTGGATCCGCTTGGATATTAAATAAATGTAGAAAAAATATTTCCATATAATGTCATTTTATTAATAAAACATTTCACACTGAGGTTTCGGAGATATTTTTGAGATATATTTTTACTACATACTTTGGAGTGCATAAAAATGAGGAGTTGGAAGTCATATCAAAATTCTTACATCATAACATTAGATATAAGGTAATTTTAACGAATTAGATTTCTTTGTCAAGCAAAATGATATATATATTTATCTATTTTTCCAAACGGATGAGGCATTAATAATATTCATACAATGTAAGTTTCCAGTACAATATTTACTTATAATAATGGTACCAGTAACCAAAATAATAGATAGAATGTATCAAATAAATAACAATTAATTTTTTTCAGTCTGTTAACATTAATCATATTAGGAGGATTATCTACCTTAACTTGCCAGGGGATATGTGAAATCCTTTTTCATTTTGGTTATATCCCAGGAGTAAATATAGATGCCTCAAAACTATGGTTTGTGTTTTTGCCATGTACTTCTCATCAGTCGGATAAGCCTTAAGAAATGAAAAAAAATTAGAACAGGCATAAAAACTTATAAGATCTATGGTAGCACAATACCTCAAGTTAAAACACAGACTATGGGCATGGGTAATGCCAGAATAAGAACTGTGAATGTTGAGAAGAATGGAGAAATTTTTACCTGTTCAGGTCTAGATAGGAATTGTAAGAAAAGAAAAATCAGCAAATGCATTGTTTCCTTGTCAGCTTCTTCTAGGTCAATTACTCTATGTAAAAGACCAGCTAAATTTCCATCCTCGCCTTGATTTATAGAATGGATATGTCCATCTATTAGAAAATGAAAAAATATATAAATATACAAAACACTCTCCTGAATATGCTTTATTTTATAATAGGAAATGAGTTGTTTGAGAAGAATTACACACACGTAAATGGTGAATTTTCCAAATTAAATTCATTGTAATTTTAAAAAAAATTCTTGATGACAATTGAAAGTAAGAGATGCTCAGGAGATAAACTAATAATAAAAAAAAAAGCCAACCATTTATGAAATTTTAAATGTGATAAATCGATTCCAACAGTTGTATTAATGAATATTTACTTCAGAAAACTGCAGTATATTGGAATTTAATGTTACACTATAAGGTCATCGTATTAAAATTACGCCTTGTAAGTTTCTAGTAAATAAGCTCTTCAAAATTTATAAGCAAGCAATTTACATAATATAAACAACAAAACAAATTATTTTGACTAAATTATTGTTCTCTGTTTAGAAAAAAAAAGACCCTATGGAGGGTCTTGGGTTCAGTACCCGGTAAGGAAGTACTGTTTCAAGGCTAATTGTTCTTCAGGGAGGAGATTGGGCCGAGATCATACTCAACCATCACATTATTCCCTTAATTAATTATTTAATTAAAAGTGACAACTTCATAGAAGCTGGATTTACCCCAGGAGGATCTCTTAAATAGGATATTTTCTAAAAATGTTTTACCTGCCAGCTAGAAGCATGAAGTGATGCATTTGTGCATACTTCTATTCCATTTTAAAAATAAGAATTAACTTTAAGGCAGTGTACAAAATAATTACATCAGTGATTGAAAATAAAACTGACGAATAATCAATTATTAAAATTAAACCCAAACATGTAAATGATAAATATTTATTAATTTAAAAATAGAATATCAATATTAAATGCACAATTAATAATCAAAAAGAAATCAACTCATTCTAATTAAAATAATGCAATGAGACATGCATAAATAATAAAATAAATAACAATGCCATCAGAAAACTTTTTTTTGCAATTATTCAACCATTAAGTAAGATAAAGCTTCATAAAAGAGAACACATTTTATTTAAATATATTTCCAGACTTTTATATTAAACAAATTTCAATATTCGATTAACTAATCAGTTATCCTTACAAGAATATCCATACTTCCTCTACCTTAGATGGTCGAGAAAGTAAACTAGTAATAGCTTCATTATACTTAAGATAAATTACATGAGGGTTTGTTGATTGAGATATATATATATTTTTTCAGAAGAATGGTTTCCGATGGCATAATTATGCATGTAGTTTATAGAATAAAAAAATATTAAATAAAATCAAAGTAATGAAATTATAGAAGTTAAAAGATAAAAATATTTTGAAATTTTCGTTTAATAGAAATGGAAATTTCTACCAAATTTAAAATAAATTACTATACACTTTAAATCATTGAAAAATATAAAAATTGAATTAAAAAATATTAGAGCAATAAAAAAAGGGGAGAAAATACTTGAATATTAGATAAAATATACTTGAATATGATAAAGTTTAACTTCTTAGAAGAATGAAATATTCCTAACTAAACATTTAAATAACACACATATGTATAGGGCATTAGATACATCCAAAGAAGTGATAAACATTAATAGTAAATAATTAAAACAGAGCATTAAAAAATATTACACTGAATAGAGGAGTTGAAGAAGAAATTTTACACAAACAGTTACAGACATTTATAGTGCACATTTATAAACATTCATTATGGCTGATCAGTACAATACACAGCACATGGCATCTTTGAACAATTAACATTAATGAAAAATATTTAATCCACACAAAAGCATTTACAATTATTGCAGTTTAAATGGATGTCAGAAATTGTGGTAGATACAAAGGAACAGAGGTAATAGAAAGTTTGCAAATTGTGGGTATTACATAAGGTAACAAAATTATAACATGAATGCAGCATCATGTTTAAAAAATATAGACCGAAAAGGATAAGACATGCCCTCTCATGGAAATAAATAAAAACAAAATGAACCGAACGGAAGCGTAAGAAGGCTAGAAACGCCAGATTAAACTCACCATTTAGCCAACATGCCTTAGGGAATATTCAGAAAAAGAAACACACATGTTAATGTTAAAACAAATACCAATAATTCATGGTGTGTCCCCAAAATATTATAATGTACTTTATTTTAGTTTTATACATATTTAAATAATATTTTTATGAATTTAAAGTTAGTAAAAATAAAAAAATAATAAAGAAGTTTTTTAGTACAGTAGTATTGTAAATTAATAATTAAAATAAACAAATTTATGGACAAATAATAAAATAAATTTAAATCAAAGAAAGCATAAATAAATAATTTAATTCCACTAGAAAATATAAAAAAAATTCTATTACCAGATAGACATTTAGAAATAACAATGACATTGAATAGTAACTATAACATTGATTTAACATGCATCTTCGAACAATGAAAGCACGATTTCGTTTTCAATTGTGCTGAATTAAAATTGTTCACACAATTTACTTTGACATCGTTCAAATAATGTCTACCTGGCAGAACGATAGTGTTATTTGAAGGCATAGAACCTAGCAACTGACCCAATCCAAATCTAGAAGTTTTCCTTTTCAATATTGGAGCTGAATATTGCCTGCTGTAGACCTTCTCCTTTTCTGAAGAAAACATATAAGTGAGATTTTGATAAGAATATTCTGCTTTGAATAAATAATAAAGGATGAATACAACTACATTCATGGTACCTGCTAACAACATATAGAGTTGAATTATTTACCAAAGTGATCATAAGGCAAATAGTGGACTGTGTGTTTCTATGAAAAAAAAAATAGCAAAGAAACAAGAAGCACATGACAAGCAACAGAAAGATAAGATGAATGTTAATAATTGATATAAATAAATATACTGCATGGATATGAAGCAGTGCAAATTAGATGGGGCTACAAAACTTTAGTAATGAAAGTTAAATATGACTGTATAATGTTGTGCTCAATTTATATACCCTGATATGTACAAAATAGAGCATTTTTTAAAATTATAATTCAAGTATAACAATTTCAATTAAGATAAAAAGAAAGGTAAGCTGTTATTTACAGTCGAATAAACTATTTTCACGATTAATACCTTGCTTTGTGTCCTGTCGTGGCACCATAGAAGCTGGAGCTGACATAGTTCTTTTGTAAGGCCATTTTTGACCAAAACTTGCGCTCAGGGTTTTAATTGAGCTAGAATCTGACTGAGACTGAGACAAGGCTTCTTGCGCTCTTTGTAGCTTTCGCACGAAACTTTCGCTGTTCATATCAGTGTTACGCAGGTCTAATCGACATATAAATATTTTAATTCGGTTCTCACAGCACAAGCACATGGAAAATGAGAGTGATATGGGAATGGCATGAATGAAAATGATAAATATGATAATCTCTAAAGGGGTAGGGCAGTAAATGTGGCAAGCAATAGTTAAGTAAGATAGTAAGGTGTGCTAAACAAACACTTACAACAATGAAAATGTCTTACCACGTAGGTAGGTTATATCACCCGATTTTTCGAGATTGATCTGAGCTTCCAAGAAAAGTGCATCAAATCGATTTAAAAAGAAATCCCACGTCAATATATGTCGATCACTAAGACAATTATGAAGTTGGTAAAGAGACTGCAAAACCATAGGGCGGTCAACGATTACTGAATCAAATTGCGTTTCCAGGCACATAATTAAGGACTGAAAACAATATAAAAAGTGAAAAAAGGTATTTAGATAGGTAGTAAAATAAGAGATGATTAAAATGTGTACAGACAAAAAAATAGTCTCTCAGTCCCAAATAGCCAAATTCTGAGAACCGATTCTGTAGATCAATAGATACAAAAATAAGTTAATTAAAAAACCCTTTTTAGGGAGATATTTTCCATTTTGAGTTTTTTTTTAAATTTTATTAATTTTAACTACCTTACCACACAAAACCTCTCATAATTTTAGACATATTTAGGCTACAAAAAATTTGATTAATCCTTTACATTAGATTTTCTGTCAATCTTGTGAATAGTATTTATAGTTACTTAAGAAGTGAGCTAATATCAGTTAAAAATTGAATTTTAGAAAAACTCAGTACAATTTCTGAACTTTTGGGAAAAACGATTATTGAAAAAATTTTTATTTATCACATTGACATCCATGGTAGCTTTCAGGATTCTCTTCTAAGTAACCAATATAGTTTAATTAATTATCATATTTTAATAAAAACTTTAACAATAAATCACAGTAATCATAAAAAAATCAATATGAATTTAGTTGTGGCTGCAAAAATATGGCACCCAAATAAACAACATGATAACTTGGCTTGAATACGAACTAATAAATATATCGTAGGTCAACAGGCAAAACGTTCATTGTTACAAACAGACTTAAAAATAGCATAACAGATAGAAAATGGTGATTAAATTGAAATTTGTATTTTTTCATGGCAGGAATGTAATGAATCATAACTCATTGCTAAATATAACTAGAATTTCTTTTATTTAAAAAAAAAAAGAAAAGTTTCACAATAAAAAATTGAAAGATTCTCTTTGACTTACAAAAAAAAAAAATAATAATACATAAAAAATGAATAGCAAAAAAAATTTGTGATAGAGAAAAATATCTGAAATTAAAAAAATAAGAGAAAAATTGTCTCTCATTTAAAAAAAAAAAAATGTGCATTAAATTCACTGCTAACATATCAATATCATTTAGTTTGATTAACTAAAAGCAGTTTTGATATTTGGATAAACTCAAAATCAAAGAGTAAATATTGAAGAAATTTTTTTGCATTACATCTACAATAAAAATTACATAAATGACTACTGTAAGTAAAAATTACAGATTACTTTGAGTAAAATCTTAGACAAGTAATATTTTTAAATAATAGCTAAAGGTAAGAAAACTAATAAACAAATAAAAAGTATTAGATTACCTTCAATGCAGAATCATGAATTGTTCCTAAATATAAAGTAGCCCTTTGGGCAACTTGGACATTAGAATCATCTAAACTTGAAATCAGATAACAAAATGCATTGGTAAGAGAAGCTTGTAAAATTATATTTGATCGTAAAGGTGTAGAATCCATGAATCTAGCAACCACTGTAACTCTTTCAACTAAAAGAAAGAAATACAAATTTTTATTGTAAAATATTCATTTAGGATTACAGATATTAGGAATAAAGATAAGTCAGAACTTTATAGCATTTTTTAGTGCCATATGCTCAATTAGCAAAAATATCAATTTGCAAAACAAAAAAAAGCATAGTACACTTCCAAGAGAGAATATAATTAAGTCAGTATAAACACAAATCATTTCAGACAATGAGGCTACATCCAAACAAGAGCTGGAAGTTAAACCAAGCAAACATTTAAATATTTTTATTTACCAGCAATGAAACGAATTCTCCAATCACTTGAATGGAATTCTTCCTGTAAAACTCTCCAAAATGCATCTGAACCAGATGGCATAGTAATGCAATGAAGAAGTAAAGGTACAGAAACCTCGCAAATATGTGAATGTTCAGCATTGCAAAGCTCCCACAAGCTGCAAAAAAAGATATAATTTATAATTCATTGTATAATATTCTATTAGTTTATATTATAGTTTCATTACATGATTACTTTTTAATCAGCAGATTTTCCTGGCACCAGATGATGAATCCTTTATGATGCTTAACAGCTTTGAACAAAGCATCACCATGTAAGCACATCAGGTACAGGCAATTAAGCATATAATATAAAACATCTGGATCCTCTGTCTTTGATATCTCCTAGAAGAAAAAAAAAAAAAATTAACAGCAAGCATTTTTTTTAAAAATTATTATTCCTTAATTAGTAAAGAGAGTAATAATGCTCATTCTCCCCCCACCACCTTAATACAAAGTTCTATAATAGCTGACTTGCAGTAGAAAAGTTGAAAATTATAATTAAAAAAAAAAAGACTAAATATAACTGCTCATATAATTCTGAAGGAGGATTGTATGGATGGATATGGATATCAACAGATTCAGAAAACCATTCGATGGACTGACGAATTTTCAAAAAGTTGGAATGTATTAGGTTCAAAAACATAATGAACATTACTATTATCATTTTGGTAACATAATGTAAAGTAATAATTATAGTTTTATTGAAATTCTAAGTGTGAACATGAATTACTTTTAAGAGTTGATGAATATACTGCAGTTGTTGTGGTAGCTCATCAATCGTAAAACGAAATTTTCCAACAGTTGTTTGCCAAAAATCCTCCATTTCTTCTCCACCAGATTCAATTGTTTCATCATTTTCCCCAACTAAAGTTGGCCTTGCAACTTGTGCCGTGGCAGTGGCTAAAATGGAATTCATGTAAAAATTAGAAGGAAAAAGTAATAAAAAATGGAACAAAAAAAAAAAAAAAAGAAATACTTGCCTACATCAGTGTCAGTTAGTGTGACAGCACGTGCAACAGCAGGAATGACTCGTTCTGACATAATTATAGGAGCAAGATCAAGCTGCTCAACAACAGTTTCGACCGTGGCCGTCATAATCTGTTCATGGATATATTCAAAAAGATTAATTACTTTGCATTATTAAGAATGGCAGTATATAAATATAGAAAACTTACATCTTTGTCATAATAAACATTAGTCAATTCATAAAATTAAATCATTTCTAAAAGTAAATTAATTTAGTCTTCTGAATTTATTAAAAGCTAAAAGTATAGCACTAATTTTTGTTAATATTTCAAATTTAACTAGACAACAAAATCATGCACATACTGTTATGAATAAATATTATACTTTCTGCAAAAGAATTATTAATATATCTATTTTAGTATTTAAATTTCTCCATTTTTAATCAAACATCTCTATTATTTTATGTTATAGGTGTATATAACACTTGTAACAATCCAGTTCAAAATTACTGTACAAAAATAAGTTTTTTTTTTTATATTCAATACTAGAGTTAAATAGATTTAGCAAAAAAATTGGGCAGAATCTTCAGGAAAACAGAACATAATGATTTCTGTTTAAAACAAATGTATTCAGAATGTAATTAAATGTTTTATTTGTACCCATTATTCATGTCATTACACTAGCGGATCCAGCTGGGGGGGGCGTGCGCTTCCCCCTGAGAGTTGGAAAAAAAGTTCCAAAATGCAGCTATTTAAAGAGAAGAGAAATATAGGGAAAATTCATCCTAATAGACAAATTTTGTAATGTAAAAAAAAGTTATTATCGTGACCAGCACTTGCATTTTCTGCCAGGGGGCGCACTCTCCCTTCGATAATGGAAAAAAAGTTCCAAAAAACACCTATTTAAAAAAAAGAAAAATATAGTGTCAAAAATTATTATTGTGACCAGTACTGGCGGATCCAGCTAGGGCTACTACATAAGTAATATTTAAAAAAAATTATTATCATGACCATTTTTATTAATTTTATGGTTTGTTATATCATGTCACCTCACCAGACTGTGGATCAACTTGCGCCCGGCCCTTTAACGACAAGATTTTGTGAAACAAAGAATAGAATGTGAGAGCAAAAGTTGGCTCATAGGGTGAAATGATGTAGTTTTTGAGCCACCATGAGCTGCAAAGGCTTTTGTTCCTTTTACAGTTTGTTCCTACTGACTCTGAACTGAGTCTCGCAGATGGAATACATGATGGAGGAAAATTAATTAAAAAAAAAAGATCTTTATTTAGCTTTTTAACAACCTTTTATCTGAGCACATGAAAATACGATTTTTCTACCATATCCAGTTTTTATTCAGTTCCAATAGATCTGATGCCTTGCAACCTATTCATAAAACTGGTCACCATAATCATTTGTATATTCCTCATTAGAAAGTGTTGTTTTTTTCTTAAAATAGCTGCTGTTGGAAACTTTTTCATGAAGGAAGGCACTTATTATTTGGTCTCCAATATGATCGGAATCAGAATTTATTCTGAATTTTTCTTCTTAGAGAACTCATTTCCAAACTGCAGGACAATTTATAGTAATCTTTATCAGATTTTTACAAAGTTGGTAAAAATTATAGTTCATTAACCATGGTTATCAACCATTCATTTAATCAAATTATCAAGTTTAGATACTCGTTCAACACACACAATTTAACATTCTTTAATTTCTTAAAGTATACGTTTTTCGCTTTGATGCACTATTTAGTAGTAATATATGAAAAAAAAATTAGATAAATTTGGCTTTTATTGGCTGTAAAAAGTTTTCTCTTGGTGAACCATGTTAGCAATTTTGTTTTTTACATATCTGATCCCATATACAGAGTGTCCCGTAAATTGAGGAAAATATTTAAAGGAGTGATAGCAGAACTCAAGAATTACAAAAAAGTTTATATAAACAATGGTTCGATTTTCAACAGGAAAGTAGGAAATTAAAGTTTTGTGATTTTTTAAGTAAGTCAGGTTTTTGGTTGAATAGGAAGTGATAACTAAAAGACTATTTAATTTAAGTAATTAATGATTGCTTCACTATAAACCAGACAAAATTTACTTTAAATAAAAATAGAGTTTGCATTTGTTAAAACCATTAATAGAGGACTTTAGAGTGACTTAACTCTGCTAAGAAGTGGGGGGAAGGATGGATAGTGGTGGCATAGAGGTGCGCCTCCCCTGAAAAAAACCTGGATCCGCCACTGTGTCTTTATTTATATTAAAGCACCATAGATTTCGATATTTGAAGGTGGGTCTTCATAACTTATTTTCTAAAGGAGTACATGAATAAAATAATGTTATTATATTATATTATACTTATGTAACATATTTATAAATGCAAGAAAACAGGATCCTAAATATAGAAGTTGAATATAACATATAGAAGTTAATATAGCACTATGCCTGAAAGCAAATGCTGAATTTTTATGCAGTAAATGATAAACAAATTTAAAAAAAAATGCAATAAAAAGTTTTAAATTATAAAATGAAATACAATTATTTTTAAGTAATTTTAAAAATAAAATGCTTTAGCGGAAAAAAAAGCTTCAAAATTATTACTAGTAATCATTGAAAAAAAAAATAAAGACAGTTACCAGTATACTATGGTTTATCAGACAATTAGAAAATAATAAATTAGCAAAAGAAAGTGCCAGAAAAGATCAGCTTGATAAGCCAATACTTAATGGCAAAAAAAAAAATGACAGGCATTTAGTCCTGAACTAAAATTATTTAATATCATTACATTGAAAATAGTTTCCACTCCATGAACATATTAAAAATTCAGTAAAACGACAGCTACATTTCTGAGGAATAAATCAGAAAATTTGACCATACCTCACCTATTTTCCAGACTTGATTATACCATTTCTATTGTCCATAAAACCAACCTTGTTTGAACAAATGTTTATGATGCTGGTATATCAACTTGTTATGATAAAATAAAGGTTCATTCAAGATAATGTATGCATGTTCCATGTAACATGTGCATAAATGTAAAAGTAATTTACAACCGCTTTGCAATATTTTTAAAGATATACCTACCACAGTTGTTAGTTGAGGAGAGGCATGGCTCCATGACATAATGACATAGTTCAACTTTGAAATGGAATAGCGAGAAGAATTTACTTTGGTCCAATGTGGTGTACAGAACAACGTATCTGCCAAACGACATTGACTAAGAGAAGCAATAAAAGAAGCTTCTAAGTGGATCATTTAAAAAACACATTATACTATCTTAAATTGTTTGTTCTTGTAATATTTTTAATATAATAATTGTAATAGGGTTAAAGATCCGTTATTTTTAATACATAATTAATATCGTTTAAAATTACTTTTTTTGCAATTTCCAATGCTACACTGAGATGAAAAAAATGTGGTAACCCTATCCTTGAACCGGGAAACTTTTCATTCTTATTTTTTAATGAACTGTATCATTTTATATAGTTCCAAACCTAAGTGAAAATTTATAGGACGAGTCTCAAGATAAAGTAAGGAACATCCCAGTTTAATCAGAAGTGCTGGTTGTCATGTTACAAAAATCAAGGAGTATTCAAATGGAATATTACAAAAATATTCATCGAGGGTGTATTAAAATCTGTAAGGGTCTATTCAAAATCTGAAAAACAATATTTCATTTGTATCAAGCATTTTTAGGAGTGTAAAATGGTTTTGGATCCCATGGCAGTTGCTCAGATTACTGTGTTAATTGAAAACAGCTGAAGTCAGCGATACGCAGCTTGAGAGGTAGTGCAGTGGTACAGGGAGACAGGAAGCTATACTCGGAGGCCGTGATCAAGTGATCCAAGAGCAACAGATCTAACTTATAACCGCTTCATTGCTAAGCAGACCCTCAGAAACTGCTACCAGACTTCAGTTGAGACTTCTCATTGATTGCACATTGCTCGGGGTGCGAATGTCAGCACACACAGTAAGGAGTAGGCTTGTTGAACTCAGCCTGCAGGCTAGGGTTCCCACTTCCAACTCTCTGCTCACAGGAACACCGAGAAGCTCGCTTCACTTTTGTCATGAACTAACTGTCTGAACAGAAGATGATTTGCCCCCTGTTCCGTTTTCTGATGAGTCTAGGTAGAGCCTTTGTGGAGCAGACGGACAAGTTCTATTGTGGGGAAGACCAAGTAAGCAATTAGCCCAGCACAATATAGCAGAAAGAATGCAGTTCGGAGAAGGTTTGATGATGGTTTGGGGTGAAATATATTTGGAGTCAAGTACAACCTCCATGTATTTCGAAGGCGGACACTCGATGCACACACCTACATCACTGATATCCTCAAAAAATATGAGGTAATTTTTTAACCATTTATTACCCTCTGTTTCCCTTTTATGGAGAGTAATACTAGGCCGTAATCGAAACTATTGTAAGGGATTATATAGACGAGGTTAGTGTCTGCATCTTGGAATGGCTAACACACAGCCCGGACTTCAATCCTATTAAGCATCTTTGGGACCAGTTGACAACAACAGAACGGATGTGACCTCCAAGTACGTGAATGGGATCAGATTCAATATCGGGTAACCATCTTATTCGTAGTATGCCTAAGAGAGTACAGACCATTAATCAAGAAATGGGAGGCAATACTAAGTACTAGTGATACAGATTTCATAATTAAAAAAGAATTGGATAGTGTTTTATTTTTATTTAAAAGAGTATTCATTTGCTTCATTTTACATTACAATTTTTTAAAGTAAATTTTCGTTGTTTTTTTCTCCACTATTTGCCGTCTTCGACAAGCAGAATATGTCACACTATATTGAGGTAAAAAAATTGCGATATTAGTTCAGTTGGGAAAGAAATAACAACAAAATTTAGGGTGCACCAGTTTTTATGACCACCAGTGTAGTTAAAATCTTCACAATTGTTCGACATCGATTCAGGAAGAAATGATTGCATATCCAGGTACTTACTCTGTAATGTGTCAATAAAATGTATGTAATATGTAATAATATAAAATATAAACTGCTTAAAAAAAGTTTAAGACATTGTATGAAAGAGGGAACGGCTATGTAAGCAATCCGAGAAGTAAAAGAAATGGTTAATTGCTCAAAGAAGTAATATAAATAATTAAAGTATATACTCATT